TCAGTGGTCCTTTAAAACTGCCGTCTTCAGCCGCACACTAATGATCGCCTGCGTCTCGCCATCGGATTCCGATTTCGTGGAAACGCTGAACACGATGAAGTACGCGAACCGGGCGAAGAACATCAAGAATAAGGTAAGGATTTTCCAGATATCTTTAATGTTCGTTTTTAAATTTTAATATAACCTTTTAAAGGCTGATTCTGGTAATATAGGATTTTATAATATTTTAAAGACTTAGAAAATAATTAATTTTGTTCTTCAGGTCGTCGCCAACCAAGACAAATCCTCCAAAGCCATTGGAGAGCTTCGGGCTAGAATTGCGCAGCTCGAGACTGAGATCTTGGAGTATCGACAGGGTACGATAATTTGTATATTTTTATGCAGTTGCTAAAGAGATTTTTGGATTCCCTTAATATTTTTTTAATATCTTTACTTCATCTTTAGGCCGTCGTACTGTTGATGCCGAGGGTATGGAAGTCGTCTCGGATCAATATCACGAGAATATCATGCTTACGGTGGGTTCTTGAGCCGTTCTTCCTCGTCTGCTCTCTCTCTCTCTCTCTCTCTCTCTCTCTCTCTCTCTTTCTCTTTCTCTCTCTCACTCGCTCTCTCTCTCTCACCACCTTTCCTTCCAGGCCGAAGTCAATCAACTCCGCTTCCGCGTCAAAGCCCTGCAAGAGACAAACGAGATTATGCGAGGCAGAAATGTGGAATTACAGGTTTATATTTTTCAATAATATTTATAGTAATTTTCCGTATAATTAGTGTATCTTGTGAGCTTTAAAAGCTCACAGAGCAAGTGATTTAAAAAATAATTTTCAGGCTAAAGTCGACTGCGCAAAAGTCGGCGTGGTGCTTTCGGGTGATAAAGGTATATTTTTTAAGCTTTAAAGGTACACTAAAGTCTCGTTGGTTTGGTTACCGGCCGGTAACCGTCCGCGGGATAGCAAACAGGGTTACGGTAGGCGCTCGCCGCGGAGCAAAACCGAACCCGCGCCACTCGCCTGGGGCAAGCGCTTTGGACCACTAGGCCATGGGACAGACCGGAGAGGGGACAGGGGAGAGAGGCTATGAAGGGTTGGGGCCCGCGGCGGCAGCGAACCCAAATTCCTGGCCCCTGCGAAAATTTTTGAACGAGATTTTAGTGTACCTTTAAAGCGCGTTTCCGCTCCAGAAAATGACGACGCCTTCGCATCTGTGGTCCGTGGGTACTTGGATGAGGTGGAGAAGGTATGAAACACCAGGGTACCGCGTATTTCACAAATTCCAGCTCCGATCCCAGCTCTACGAAGCACAAGCCACGTCCGAGCAGCTACGGAAGGAGAACGCGAGGTGGAAAAATCAGGTGGGTACTGTAGGATGGAATTGTTGTAAGGTCTAACTTGCGGGAAATAAAATGTCGATAAAACTGTTTATAGAAAATTTATACCTATCTTTAAGGCGATGTCCGGCGGAATGCACCAATCGATGGGCGCCTCGGTGTTCGATTCGGGTGGCCAGCAGCTGATCGAAGAAGCCAGAAACGACATCGATCGACTCAGGAACCGATTGGCTACCGTCCAGGATCAGACAAACGAGGAGACGTCGGATTATGCTTCTCCCCTCGAGAATACGGAAGAGGATGTCAGTGATGATGGTACGGTAGTTGGGGCAGATTCTAAAGAGAGTTAGACAAGATCAAATCGGAAAAAAGCTCCCAAATGGTCCTGCTAACTAGCCGTGACGGCAAAAATTCCCAAATGATTTCTGCTAGCTGCCCAAAAACAATAAGAGTCCCTGGTCGTCCTTGCTTGCTGCCACCAATAGAAAGTTTTTCTCAAATGGTCTCTGCTCGCTAACGTAAGATGCAGGAAGCATCCTAAGTGGTCACTGCTTGTTAGCCCTGGAGGCAGGCAATTATGATTGGCAGGGTTGTATTTCCTAAACGATCACTGCTGGCCAGCCCCAATAACTGGCAATTCCCAAAGGATCTCTGCAAGATTGCCTCCTAACTTCCAATTTTTAGGTGACGGCGACGATGAGGATGACCTCCCAGACGATGAGAGCCCGGCAACAACGGCCCTTCGTGAAAATCTTGCCGACCTCGAGACCGAGATCAACATCAAGGAGAGGTGGAAAAAAATCCTCGAAAATTGGAATCCTGAATTTAGACTCATCTCCGAGCTCGAGCGGTCTGAGCGCCGACTCTCAGAAGTTCGACTGACCTATGAGAAGAAGCTGACTGAACTGAGCACCAGGATAAAAGCCACTGAAGCTGAGCGGGATAAGATGCTGGCTGAGATGTCGACGAAGGGAGGGGCGAACAAGATGGCTGAGGAGAGGCAGAAGGTGAGCTAACTCTCTCTCTCTCTCTCTCTCTCTCTCTCTCTCTCTCTCTCTCTTTATCTCTCTCGCGCGCTCTCTCTCTCTCTCTCACTCCTTCTTTGTTCTTGCTCTCTCTCTCTCTCTCTCTCTCTCTCTCTCTCTCTCTCTCGCTCTCTCGCTCTCCCTTGCCCCCATCCTCCTCATTTGATTCCGAACTCCAGAAAATCGCTGGGAATTAATGAAGTCCAAGCCAAAACCTCGCTTTTTGGGCAACTGTCCGCAGTACAACTCCGTACAATGTCTCCCGTTCAGCAAATCCGCGAGGACTACGAGCGCAAACTGGCCGACATGCGCAACGAGTTCAAAAAGCTGCAAATGATCGAACGGGAGCACAAGCGGATGCAGGCCCGCCAGGAGGTCGAACGACAACAAATGACGCGCTACCAGTCCGAGTTGAAGGACCTGAAGAAGGTCAAGGTAGGGTTTTCGGCAAAGATTGCAGCGTAATTACTGTTGTTCCGTAATTTTTGGATCAATTAAAGGCACTAGGAAGTGTCGAAATTGGCCCCCTTTTCGACTAGGCCTAGACAACTACGCAGCGCTTCAAATGACGCCTTAAATAGAATCTTTAGCGTCTATTACGTGACCCCACGGCCAAAAAAAATTTTGACTTGGGCGTTTTCTTTGGAGCTCAAGAAGCTCAAGAGCTCAAGAGCAAGAAGAAGCTCAAGAACTTTCTTTGAGCTACTTGTCCGAACATAGTAAATAAAAAAAGGCATTCTCAAGCTTTCTGGTTCCGTTAAAATGCATATTCTAGAAATTTTGAAGCCTTAAAATTTTTAAACCCTTAAATTTTTGAAACTGGTTTTTCAGGTTGACCTCGTCAAGCAGATCCGCGACGCCATCAAGAAGTCACAACAGGAGCAGATGAAGAGCGCCAAGAAAATTGCGGCGCTCGACAAGGAGGCCAGGAAGAAGGACGGACAGATCAAGACACTCGAGATGAAGGACAAGCAGCGAGAAGCTTTTATGAAGAGGACGACGGATGAGGTAATTTTGGAGGAAATTACGGATTTTTAGGCACGTCACCGAGCTTTGCGTCAGTAGGTTACGGTTACCGTAGTCTGCAGCGCGTTCAGGCAAAGTTCCGACGCGCTAAGCGCCATGCTCGGCAGGTTCATCTAAACGCGTCACGGTCGCGTGGCGTGTCGATGCGAATGTGGCCCTGGCAAGAGACGCGGCGCGACCGCCACGCATTCACGCCCGTGTGGCCCAGCCTCAGCAGCGTTGCGCTCAGCAGGATAGTGTGAACGCTTAGCGGTCGCGTTTTTTTGTCACTAAAGTTCTTTTTTTATTCATCCCATCTTTCCAGGTCAACCGACTCCGCAAGCAGCAACGCGACGCGCAACGTGTGGCAGGCCAGAATGCAAGAGCTGCGGGAGCTGCTGCCAGAAATGCGCCAGGAAGAGGAGTGCAGCGGAATGGGAAGGAGATCTTCAATCCGAGAGCAGCTAAAGCAAAATGGACAGCGCTGGAGAAGAGGCTGATGCGGATTGTAAATGAGAAGAATGCCGTGCAGAGGATGGAAGAGGAATTGGAGAGGAGGATTGATGAGAGACATAGACTCCTCGATCAGATCAGTGCACTGGTGGGTGAGAGAGAGAGAAGGAGAGAGAGAGAGTGAGAGAGAGAGAGGGAGAGAGAGAGAGTGAGAGAGAGAGAGTGAGAGAGAGAGAAAGTGAGAGAGAGAAACAAGAAGAGAGTGAGAGGGGGATGGAGAGAGGGCGTGAGAGAAAGAGCGAGAGAGAAAGACAGAGATAGAAACAGAGCGAGAGAAATGAGAGAGAGCAAGAGCGAGGGAGAGAGACAGACAGAGAGAGAGAGGGAGAGAAAGATAAAATTTTTTAAACCCGTTATCTTCAGGAAAAAGCCTTCATCTCCGTGCAAGAAGTCACTGAGCGCGAGGCCATTGGGGAGGAGCTGGAGGGAGTACGGTAAGTAAAGAAGAATTTAATTTTTAGTGTCTTTTAAATGCCAAATTGGTGACGTTATGTTTATTTTTAGCGAAAAACTGACCTACGTCCAGGACATCATCCAAGAATCCCAGCTCGCTATCACGTCGGTGGATGATGCCAAGGTGCGTTTCCAATGGTTTTAAATGTTTTTGATTCTTGACTTTATTGTTTTATTTAACCGAAAAATACTAACAAATATAATCAAAGCCAAAGATAAAAAGGACAGAGTTTCCAAAGAATTCTAGTAAATTTTTCGATTGAACTCTGAGAAATGTAGTAGCTAAAACAAATCGTTTTCAAAAATATTTATTCCAAAAAAAAGTACAAAAATCCGCATAATAATCCAAGAATAATTATAAACACGAGAAGCCGACCAGAGTAAGGTGGGAGGATGACAAAAATGTAGCATAAAACTTAGGAAAAAACCGAGTTTTTGAATTTTAAAAATTTGTGGAGAATTTATCGGTTGGAATGCCGCACCGCGTAGTCCATATGTACAAAAAGGCAAGTAGAAGTTGTGGGGGTGGTCGTGACGATGAAACGCGAGAGTTAGTATCAAGAAAAAACGGAGAAGAAAAATACGGAGAAAGCCTTGGAAATACGCCAAAAAATCAGGAAATCGAAAAACCAAACATTCAAAAATTGACCGGCAGCTGGTGGGGCTCATGAAGATGTGAATTACTCTTTGTTCTGGACGACGAGCACCTAGAAAAAAGCCGTATTTTTTGGAACGTAACTTGGAATTTTGCGGAATTAAGAGGATTGTATGTAGGAAAAAATCCGCAAGGATTTCTGCTAGCTTGCCTGCACATGATTCTAAATTGACTAGGAAAAGCTAAAAAGCGCCCAATGAAACACTGCTAGCCTGCCTCCATATCATTCTAAAAGAATCCCAAAGAAACTCTGCTAGCCTACCTAGGGCTCTGAATCGACTAAAACGGCGCTAGCAATTTTTTCAAAAAATCTCTGCTGGCTCGCCTTAAAGCACGCGTGAGGTTTCCTCAAAAAAACCCTGCTAGCTTGCCTACCTGCGTTGGCTGCGCTGAGGCCGAATGATGATCCCCGCTTGCCGAGTGGGCTATCGATCTCTTGCTGCTACGGCCACCGATCGTCGATCTCCGCCGATCTTGGGAGAGGTCCGGCAGGGGCTCCGGTTCTTGCGGGCTAAAAACTCGTCGATAAGCTTCAAATTGCCGTAGAAGACTAGACCCAGTGAACAGAGGGGTCGATTCTGGCGCTTCTTAGTCTCTTTAAAGCCGGAATCCGTCAAAACTTACTGATCTATCCGCTTCTTGCTGGTGTATGCCAGGAGGGCAAACATTAGGCAGCAAACCGCTGCTCCGGATGCGAATACCATGCGCTTCCAGAAGTAGCCCTCACCTAAAAAAGTGGATTTAAGAGACTGTCTCTCTCTCTCGCATCCTGTATCGCTCTCTCTCTCCCTCCCACTCTCTCTCTCTCTCTGCTTACCTGAGAAAAACGCCAACCAAACGCAAATGGCCAACGAGACGGCGAACCCGAAAACACAGAGCACTAACTGAAAATGGACGCGTTTTGTACTTTTTTGCGTCCAGAGGATCTTTGGGGATTGGAAGACCTGGCGGTGGATAATGCCAAGCTTGATTTGCTATTCATTTCGTTTTGTTTTGGAAAAACAACGCCTTTTTTGTGCGAATTTTGTCTTTTTCCTCAGTTACTGTTCCTCTAAAAGCCGAAAAAATAGGAATTATCTGTCTCTCGCTCTCTCTCTCTCTCTCTTCTCTCTCTCTCTCTCGCTCTCTCTCTCACGTTTTCTCGTTCTTTCTCTCCGTCTCTCTTCTCTGTATCTCTCTCGCTCTCTCGCTGAGCCGATCAAAAGTTTAATTTTTGAAGTTCCAAGAATTTCCTTTCCTGATCCCTGTAATCACATTTTTCTCCTACTTTCCGGTCACAACTTTCGCATCCAAATCCCATATAATTCCCCCCATTTTGACCCCCGTTCCTTCATTGGCTTTAGCAAAGATACGGAAAAATGGCTCTTCCCGGCTGGCTTTCCGGATAAATGAGTTTCAAAATTGAGGGGCCCTCTCTTCTGGGCCCTCTCTTAGGGCCCAGCCCTATGAGACCGGGGGCTTTTCCTTAATGGGAGCGCCCGGGTTTTCGCTTTTCGGACAGACCCCCTCAAAAAAAAAAAATGGAGCACCAGAAGCCGAAAGAAGGGCCGGGTGGCTTGTGATGGGGCCAATTTTGTTGACTGTCTATTTGGGTTTCTCTTTTTCTCTCTCTCTCGCTCTCTCTCTCTCTCTCTCTCTCTCTCTTTCTCTCTCGCTCTCTCTCTCTCTCCTCATCCACCCCCACATAGACACGCCACCATGGCCATTAGAATGGGCTGCTTCTGCTGCCCATCGTCGGGACGTCTTCCCCCAAAAAACACAAAAACCCCCGGGACGAGACCATTGATCTTTAAAGGCGGAGCGACAGGAGTGGATAGCTACACAAAAACCTTTAAAAATTTAAAACCAAATATTATTTAAAAAAACTTTAGAACCTCCAGTTGCGGGTTGGAACCGTAGGAAGAGTTTTTGCAGGGATGCTAACAGCTAGCCGGTGGAAACATCCACTCCGTCAACGAAAAATTTACTGATCAGATAACTAGCTGATTTTGTACACATTTTAAAGGGACAATCTTAAATGGAACCCGACTAAAAGACGAAAAAATCAATGTTATACAATATTTAACTAATTCCTAACAGGTTTCTGCTAGCTAGCTAATTTGAAACAGCGCCCTGCCTTCAAAGGCCCTTTAAAACACAAATTTTGGTGGGTTATAGAAAATTCAGCCTTCGCGGTACCTTTAATCCCCGAATAGCAGCGCGAGTTTGCCCTATGGCCCTTGAAATAAATTTATTTTTCGGAAATTACCAAAATTGGCTTTCCCGGTGCCCTTAAACCGTTTTTCTGCCTCGAAATCTGCAGAATCCTGCCTTTCCGCTCCCTTTAATCCACAATTTGCCCTCTCATATCCATAAAATAATTTTAAAAAATTGACGTAACAGAAATCTATAAGATTTTGCCTTCCCGGACCCCTTTAATCAGTTTTGACCAGGGTTGGTCATTCTGCGAGCCCGCTCTGAGCCGGAGCTGAGCGGGAGCAGGAGCCCGAGCGGGCGCTGAAAATTTTCAGCTCCCGCTCACCTCCAGCTCTTGAGCCGGCTCTTTTGGAAAAGAGCGGGAGCCGAACCCTGCTCTACTCCACCGGATGCTGTAAATTAGTTATTTATGCAAATCTCCCAAAATACCAATAAAACTGAATATTTTTGGCCTTGCACTGCCTTATTTGCAGGATCCGGTTTGAGTTGAGCGGGGTTCGGCTCTAGCTCTTTTTCCAAACGAGCCGGCTCAAGAGCCGGAGCTGAGCGGGAGCTGAAAATTTTCAGCTCCCGCTCCCGCTCTTGAGCGGGGCTCGCGAATCAGCTCCAGCTCCCAGCTCCCGCTCTTTTCGTGACCAACCCTGGTTTTGACCGAATACACGAAATTCCATAGAATTTTACCTTCTATGCACCTTTAATCCATGAAATTTTTGCCTTTCGGATTTCTGGTCTTAAGAAATTTATCTCGACTTCTGATACTTATTGCCTACCTTGAAAGTGACTATACGATTCTGGAAATACCCCAATTTATCCCCCGCTTGGAGCTCTCGAAATTGCAATTAGCAATTAGTAACACGTAATTACAAATGCAGGCCCCCGATTCCAGGGTGGGCAGGTGGTAGGGCCTTGTAGCCAAATCGGGTAGTGTCATGTACGTGTTGATTGTACCCTCGCGTACTCTAGCGTACTGGCGTACCCTCCCGTACTGAATTCCCTCTGGGGCGACTCACCTGTCCGACCGGATTCATGGCCCTCGTTTTGCATGGCGGCCGGCTGGTCAACAACGTCTTCAGCTGCCCCTTGCCGTCCTCGGAGAACGAGGCCTGTAAAAGGAGTTTGAAAGAGCTAAAAGACTGATGGAATCGTATAGGGTAGTGTAGCGTAATTGAGTTTAAAGGGAGCGTGACAGGATCGAACTTGCTGGAACCTTTGAAATTGGGGGTTTCAGAGGTTTTATTGAGTTTTGTGTCTTTTATACGGGATGTTGATACTCGATTTTTGCCACAAATTTGAACGATTTTAACGATAAGGCAGATTTTAGGCACATAATCATTCGAAATTCATTTTAAGGGGGTGGTGACATCATTTCCACCAGACGGAAACGGCCGTTTTTCTGGTGTCGCGCTTCTTTTAAAACCACCCAAAACCACCTCGACAGCCTTTTGCAGATCTTAAAACGGTACCAACAACAGTTTTATCCTGATTATTTCGAAAACAAGGCAAAAAAAACTCAATTTTCCTGGTGTCACATTCCCTTTAAAACTGCCTCCAGTCTCCCAGATGCCCCGATAATTTGGATTCCAGCTACTCCGTCCCATCCCCCCATTTCGAGGCTTATTTCGGGTTATTTTCGGGTTGTGTGTGTGGCTGTGGCTGGGGGAAATGCCAAAACAATGGGCTACAATTTTTCCGGCCGCTTTTTCTCGTGTGGGTCCCATTTCGCGGGGCCCATTTCGGGGGGGTTGGAAAAGCGGGAAAAGCTGTGCACGAGCCGCGGCGCTCAATGTCCGCCGTCCTGCCCTAATTAATCCGGCACCCCAGCAAAAGGCAAGCCACCGGATGGCAATTTTGACGAGCTGAGATTGGGAGAGTGAGCGAGAGAACGGAAGAAAGAGATAGAGAGAGAGAGAGGGAGAGAGAGAGAACGGGAGAGAGAGCGGGATAGAGATAGAGAGAGGGGGCTTGAGAGAACGAGATAAAATAAAGCTCTTGCAAGGATTGAAAAAGAAATCTTTCCCTAATGTTACCTCCAAAACGAGATAATCATAGAACGAACGGTAGAGGAGCGAGAGAGCAAGAGCATGAGAAAGAGAGCGTGCAAGCAAGAGCGCGAGAGATAGCTCAGGGATATTCAGGGTAGTGAGAATCAGAAATACATAAGGGGCGGAGGACAACGAGAAAGTCAGAGACAGAGAGACGCGAGAGAGCGCGAGAGAGAGCGAGAGAGAGAGAGAGAGAGAGAGAGAGCGTGATTCATATATTATTCCGCAAGATTCCAAAAATCACGTATTTTGCTGCCGTCCCCCCGTCCCCAGATTTTGCGTGGAGTTTGAATAGCCGAGTCATGCGCCCCGATTTGTCACGAGGACTAATTAAGAGGGCTCTAATTTAGCGGGTAGACACAAGCTCTTTCAAATTACAAGTGAATTGGAATTTTCTGGAACACCACTGGTCTCCCACCAATTTACGGAAGGTTCTGGAGGTTCAAAAATTTTTCTGGGTACGCAAAACGTAGCAATGCACATTTTTAAAGCACCACGGTAAATTTTCATGGTAGAAAAACAGTAATCAATTTTACTAAGCGTGAAACTATACATTTTCCAAAATTCGGGACGCCTGGGCTAGAAGTGGAGCTCGATGCACATGATTTTGGGTGTGGTGAAAGGTGGCCGGGCGGGCGTTCCGAGTGATCGGGCGTGACATTTTGCGCTAGCGTACAGTTCGTAGTGCTTTATTTGTGCGTCGGAAAGTAGTGTAGTCAATAAAATATCGTAAGCCCAGTAATGCGAATGGAGTACGCTGGAATACTCCGTGCAGTTCCGTATCGTACAGAAACGGAACTCGGTTCGTGTACTTGTTGAACTTGACGTTGAACTCGAGTACTATTCGGATTCAGAACGCAGTCGGAAATTTGGTGGTCTTTCAGGAGTAGAGTAGTAATAAAAGGCTCAGTGAACTCCCTGAACTTGATGCAGCAGTTTCTCAATCTCTCGGACTTCGAATATTCTTCCGAACAGCTTGAATATGTCTCCAAGTCAGAGCGTTAGAACTTCCGGAAATTGCTCTGACGATCCAGCGAAAACCTGGCAGCTGATCTCCCAGATGCCCTGGTGAGAAATAACTGTTTTGAGGGGCGTTAAGTAGCAGCTCCCGGAAATCAGCAGATGCCCTCAAAATAGATGAATCTTCCCGCCCAGCTACGCTCGATTACGGGCGGATTACGGTAGCCAAATTTATGGCAGAAGCCGGGGTGAAGGGGGTGGTGGAATGGCCCAAATAAGGGGATGGGGTGAGATGATGAGGGGCGGGGTGGGGAGAGGGAAGAGAGAGGAGAGAGAGCTCGTGTTTGTGCTCTCAGGGCATTCTGATTCTCTCTCTTGCTCTCTCCCTTTCTACTTCTCTCACTCTCTAACTCTCACTCCTGCTCTTTCTCACTCCCGAGCTCGCCCCTCTCTCTCTCTCTCTCTCTCTCTCTCTCTCTCTCTCTCTATCTTTCCCTCTCTCCACTCTCGCTCTTTCTCCCGCTCTCTCTCTCTCTCTCTCTCTCCCTTCTTTTAGGGCGAAACCAGCGGGGAAAATAGCAAAAACGGATTATCCCCCCGGGCCGGCCATTCCATTCCACTGGAATTCCCATTGTTGCCGAGTGGACATTAGAGCGGTGATCGACTGTCCGGAGGTGTCACTCGGAATTTTCGAGATTTTGCGGGAATCCTGGAATTCTGGGAAGTCCTAGATGGGGTGCTTGACCTCGAGAGGGGCCCTTGGCACTTTGACAAGGCATCAAAAATTGGGGTGCATGGGGGGTAAATAAGGAAGTCGGGGAGGGCGGGCTAGCAGAGATTTCTGGGGAATTCTGGTAGGTATCTGGAAGAGAATTTTGAGGAGGAGGAGGAGCAGTTCTTGGAGCAAGAGGGACAGAAAAAATCTCAGAGAACTTAGTTGATATTTTTGAGACATTTATGTTAGCATTCTAGTGCTTTTACGCAGAACCGGCTAGGGCAAGCTAGCAGAGACGCTTTCGAAAAAACTGCTGTTTGCGCCAAGCACGATAGCCCGGTGATCAACTACCAGTTTTGCTACGGTAGAACGGCCAAGCAGGCAACGCCATCGCCACCCTCGCACAAACTTCATTACCCCATCACCCACCCGCCGTCATTGCGTACTCGGGCGGAATCGCGAAAATTGGGTTGCGGATCGTGTTCACGCGGTGGTGTAAGGGGTATTGTACCGGCATCTGAGGAGTACAAGGGGTTTCCTGGGGTATTTTATGGAAAATACTTTAAAGTAAGGGAAACAAGTATTGCTAGGCAAAAATTGCTCTCGTTTTTCTTCAACCATTGGGCTTTTCTGTTTGATTTTGGTCCGCTAAGGGAATTGTTTGAATGGAATTCCGGATTCAGGGTTGTCTTTTTCTTTTTCAATGCCAAAAATCAGCCCCATTAGGCTCGAAAAAGCCGATTAATTTCCGCTAATATTCGCGTTATTCCAAAACAAATTGGAACTCGCGAAGCTTTCGAGTTGTTCAGGAAATTGGCTCTTGAGCTCTTTTTTTTATTTCCACCTGAGTTCTCTCTCTCTCTTTCTCTCTCTCTCTCTCTCTCTCTCTCTCTCACCCACGCGGAAACGATACAGATTAAAGTGCGGAACGTCAAATCCGAACCGGCTTTCGGATTACAGAAATTTCTAAGCGGGTCTTAGTATATCAGGCGGGAGCTTATTGTCAGCCGATTGAGAGCCGAGATCATCCGAAAGACCTGACTGGAATGGATTTCGTGAGGATTTTTAAGAGAAAGATTACTTTCAGAATCCTGAAAGGGGATGAACGATCTCCAAAACCCTTCAAATCCACAAATTACAAAATAGGAAAACATTTACAGGCAAGCTAGCAGGGATTGTCTGCGGATTTTTGCCGGTTGATGATCGGTAAGCTAGCAAAGTTTCTTTGGGGAAAGGCCCGGCAAGCGAGCAGAGAACGCTAGCGGGCGCCAATTCCTCTTCCAAAGCGAGGCAAGCTCGCAAAAACCGTTCGCTGAGCTTTTCATAAATTATGTAAGGCATGCTAGAAGAGATTCCTTGTGAAATTTTAAGCACCTCCCTGCCCTCACAATCAACAAATACCATGAACCAAAAATCGGACATGCGCCTTGACGTATCCTAGGGCTTCCCCAACGGATTAACTCGGCTAAGAATATAACTTTTTGGCGACGGGTCGTGGCAAAATCCAACGTGTCACAGGACCCCCTTCTATTGACTAGATCTGGTTACGTAATTTGGAGTAGAGAAAATACGAAAAACATGATTGGCACGTTCGAGAAGCTGTATTTTTTGAGACCGACAGAGAGATAGAGAGAAACAGAGAGTAGGAGAGTGTGCTATAGAGAACGCGACGGCGAGAGAGATAGAAATAGTTAGATGTAGAGCGTGAGAGAGAGGGAGAGAGGGAGGAAGAGAGAGAGAGAGAAAGATAACTAAAACGTAATTACCATACCTTTGGTCCCAAAAACGATCCCTTCCTCGGCTGATCCCCAGGCATCAGACTGTCCCGCTTCACCGGGGCTGGCAATTCTATCGACGGCCGGTTTGACATTCTAGAAAATCGGCATATATAAATTTGAAGACGCAAAATGAAAAACGCGAAAAAACCGAAATGAAAGAAAAAAAATATCAGAAAAAAGCTAAACGTAATTCAGGCGTTAAAATCAACAAGGGAAGCGGATTTTGAAACCAAACTTTAGCGAAAAGTCAAAGAGTGAGAAAGAAAGAGATTTGAGCTTGAGCTTTTCTTTAGCTTTAGCTCGTGCTTGCAAGCATGTAAAACACGCAACCAATTTCTAGCTGCATTTAAGGGCTAAAACGCCTCAAACTGCAGCCAAAAATGCCAAAAAATACAGGAAAACGCTTAGAAAAATTCCCTAGTTTTTCTAAGGAGCTCGAGCTCCTTCTGTTGCAAATAGGAGCCAAAAAATGTTCTGAAGACCTACTCCACGAAGTTATCCCGAACAAAAGGAACACCTTTTTCGTGCTCCCCTATAAAGGGAGAGTCCATTTTCGGCTTCCCCTTCACAACACACTGGCCACAGCCCTGATCGAATTCTCGCGCTCATCCATTCTCAACTCTTTCTCAAGAGCGAGTGAGCCTCAAAGATCTCGGCAACATCGGAGCACCAGCTTTTTCCTTCCTGCTCTCGCTCGTTTTTTGGAGTCGCTCTCCCCAAAAATGTCCAATTTCGAGCACGAATCCGATGCTTCTTTTGGACCCTCGACTTTTGGAAGGGCGGGTGTGGTTCGGAGCGCCCCGGAAGTTGGGCGGGTGAGGGTGGAAGGGCAATATGTGAAATGGAGGTGTGTATTTTAGGAAATAATGCTCCAAATTGGATTCTTACTTGCAAAATAACCGGGGATTCTTTCTAAAGAATACCGGAAAAGGTAGATACGTAGAAACAACCTACAAAATTTACAATTAAATATAAGCTTGCCAACTCTAAAATACACGAATTTTTTGAAACTAAGTCGTAAAACGACATAGAAAAAAAATCCAAAATTTGAAAAGAGGTAGTAAGGAAATGAATGCTCTTTTTGTTGGTTTAAATCTTAATGGATACATTATAAATATACTTTGTAAGTGTTTCTATAAAAATATAGAAAAACTTAAATAGTTTAATTTTAAGCGGAAAATAGGCCAAACTGAATTTTCTGTTTTTTTTGCCGGTTTTAAGGACTATTGAAGTCCCATAAGATTTATAAAAATGTTAAATTTACATATTTTGATTGATCTCATTGATCATTCACCAGAACCTGACTTTCATTTTTAACCTAGAAGCAATTTCACAACATTACGCTCCCGTCCTGGCAAAATTTAGTCATTCGAAAAGGCGAAAATCCGGTTTTTCTACGGGAGAAAGCGCAATGTTTAACATCATCGAAATTCGGAGCCTAGAATTCGAAAATTGTGGAGCTTTAAATACGGTCATTTTGAATTTCCGTGGATAAAAAAAACAAAAAAATCGTAGAAATAGGCTGCTTTGGTAAACCTGACTCTAGCCCCCAACAATTCCCCTAAAATTTGCAATATTGAGGGAGAATGGCCCCCAAATCCCGTGGCCCCCATTTTGCTCCCCTCGACTCCTTAAAAAAGGGGGCGCATCCGAGCGGGGCGATCCGATGCGTAATTGCATTCATCTCCCCCCCCTCCTCTCAATCCACTGAAGCCACTGTGGTGTGTGACCACGATACCTCTCTCGCATGCCCTCTCTCGATCTATCTCGCTCTCTCTCTCACTCTCTCTGTGCCTCTCTCTCGCTCTCTCTCTGTCTCTCTCTCACTGTCTCTTGCGCAGTGGCAATTGGAATTCCTTCCCAAATGTTCTCTGCCAGATTGCCTAGTTTGTGGTCTGCAGCCGCTAGTTTAAAAAGTTTAAAAATTGCCGTTTCTAAAAAAGCTCTCCAATTAAAGCGTTTTTCATTGGAATCCAACGCTTTTTTCCTTTCAACTCGATTCCCAGGAACCGCTTTTTTCACTGGTTTCTTCTGAGGAACCAAGAAAACAAAATTTGTATATTTTCCAAATATCCTAACCCAGCGCGGAGTCGGAATAACAAGTGTTTTTTTGCCATAAAATTTGGGTCCGGACCTGTTTTTTGAGCAGAATTTGGAGCTGGCTCAGGCCCCCGGGGTGGCCAGTCAGCCGGACCCAAGAATTTTGTAGGCACTCAAAAAAGTGGATTTTGGTTTGGGCGGGCCGAGATTTTGCAGAATTGGCGGGGAACTGGCGGCCGTTGCATAAAAAAATTCTAATTGAAGAGAAGATTAGAAAAATTAAGAATTAAAACGTTCGGTTTAATCAGGAGGAAATTCATCAGCTTACGCTTCAGCGCTTCATCAAATGTTATCCTACCGTAAAGCATGAAAACGCCTTTACTGCATCCAATTTTGCGTCTAGAAATTATTGAAAATTGAAACTGAAAATTGGTCGATCTTGGAGAGAGGCGGGAACTAAGCAAAACTTTGAATAGAATTTTTTAAAATCAACCCTTGCGAAAATTCGGACCTGCTACGTCTTTGTAGGATAATCGTAAATCCGAAAATTGTCCATTTATCTAGTTTTTGCAGCCCTTGAGTGAGGGTGGAGTGAAATCGCGGAATTCTGCGGGTCGTGCTCTTGTCTTCCACTTTCCCGCCCAGGGGTTGTGATTTGGAATTTTTGATTTGTTCGCAGCGCGGGACCCACATCGGAAATGAGAGAGAGAGAGAGAGAGAGAGAGAGAGAGAGAGAGAGAGAGAGAGAGAGAGAGAGAGCGAGCGAGAAAGAGAGAGTGAAAGAGAGCAACGGACTCATACACACACGCCATTTATAAATAAAAGATTTTATGGGGTTGAAGGGGAGGAGGAGAAGGAGGATGAGGACGAGGAGTAGAAAAAGGGACGTTAGATCATGAAGGGCAACGACTAGTGGGTGGTCCATAGCTATGAACTCCTGAGAAGAGCGGTGTTTTGCAGATTCTAGAATGCCATCTACGAGAGAGAACTACGATACGCAAAACACGTTAAAGGGCTTAGAAAACGCGAAAATCGACCCCTTGAATCGACTAGATCTAGACAACTACGTTCAGCGCCAATTTACGGATCAAAGGGAATTTGAACTTTTCTCAAACCACTGGGTATTGACTCAATACTATTGAGCCAAGATTAGCGTATTTTGGAGTGTCAAGAAGTTGTCGAGACCTAGTATTTGAGAAAGGCGGATTTTCGAGACTTCCAGGTCCCTTTAAAAATGGTAGATGCTAATTTTTGACTATCTAAACAAGCCGCATGGCCTCTAAGACCCGTAAAACAACAAAAGTGACATGTACCCTCGCTGCAAACCCCCGATTTTTGACCACCCGTCTGCACCGGAAATGCCGAATTTCTGGAAGTTGGTCACCCGGAAAACGGGGCGCCGGTGGGGGAGTGAAATGGCGTAGTGGGATGTAACGTTTGAGGAACTATTGTATTTAATAAGGAAAGAATAAAAAACTACAGAGAAAAATTTAAAGTTATAAGCTTAAATTCATCACGAAAAATCTGTCCAGACTACGTAATACACCTAACAACGGTCGATGAATTACACCATTTAATTCAGAAAGAGCTCGAAACAAATCAATATTTGCTGTCTTTACAAAATTGTATAGAAAAAATTAAATCGTCACTACGCTCCATACCAAAAAACGGATAACCGATTACGCTGCTTTATTACGTAAGCTAATCTGAACATTACAAAAATTGTATAAGCAAGAGGATTTATCTATTTGAATTGAAGAACAAATTATAGTAAAAAAGGACATAATTTAAATTTTTTAAGCGCTAACCTTAAATAAGGCTAACCAATTTCGCCATTTAATTTGCGGAGGGGAACAAAAATTAGCATAAATACCAATTTTTAAGCGCCAAAAACCTGAATCAACCGCTTTTTTTCAAGGATATCCGGCTACACCGGCTTTTTGAGCCTTCCGAAAATGAGCTCTTGCTCGCCAGAACCCACCCCCCTTGACCCGTAAGTGGCCCGAAAAATTGCCTTTTTAAAGGGGGCCCCGGGGTGAGCTGGTGCTTTTTGGTGGACGGCACAGGAAAGGATACATGCAGAAATTCGATTTTTTGAAGGACTCTGCTACTTCTGCTTTATGTTGGGAGCTGGAAATACATACGCGCAAATGCACCCACCCATACGGCTTGGAGATGTGCAACACAATGGCCCGGTGATTGACCTATTGACACCCGGGGAGGCAGAGAGGGCGGGAGAGAGAATGAGAGAGAAAGAGAGAACGAGAGACATAGAGACAGAGAGAGAGAGAGAGTGAGAGAGAGCGAGTGAGTGAGATAAAGAAAGACAGAACAAGTTAAGCTTGTCCAAACCTCGTCAAAATATATGCCTTCACGACCCCTTTAAAACTCTAAGCTCATGCTCAGAGCACCAAAATCGAAAGCGACCCAAACCGCACGTTTCCCAACCAGACCCGAAAATAGAGGGGGTCGAACTTCGAGCCGCCAGGCAGGAATGGGTCCTGGGCCCACCGGGTGGTGCTCCCACGGGAATTCTTGGCCATTTGGGGGATGACCCGAAGGAGAGGAGGAGCGCGAGATAGAGATAAAGGAGGACGAGATACAGGAGAATGAGAAGGAGAGAGAAGAGAAAAAGGACGGAGGATGAGAAGAATAAGGGCGATGAAGTTAAGTCCAGAAATATCGTGAGCAAGTTCGGCAAGAGAGCCAGAGCATGCGCTAGAGATAGAGGATGAACTTGAAAGTGAGACACCCTCCTAAAATTTAGAAAAAAATTCTCAGCGTCTTGTTCCAAATGCGAGATGGGCAGCACGCCGCAGCGAGCTTGGCCTGTGCAGGCTAACAGATTCCCTAGATCCCCAGGGAGTTCCATGTTTTTCTTGTAAAATTAGTTGCCATGAAAAACATCATAAACGGAAGTCCTTTTTCCGAGCTTCGTGAAGGCCGGCCAGCAGAAATCTTTGTGGAAATTATTAGGCAGCCCTGACCCTTTAAAATCACAAGCGCGCCAGCGGGGTTTTTTTGCAGCATAATTACACAAAAACGAACACCCGGCCTGCTAAAATGACCTCGGAAAGTGTAATAATAACCCTTTGACTCCCCTCCGGGCCCTAAGTAAGAACCCTTCTTAAGGCCCAGAATGGCGGCAGGGCAGGCGGAAGACCCCAGGCTTCCGACCGGCCATCTCCATATACCCCAACCCGCCCTCCAGAAGCAATGGCCGGCAATGGCCAGTAGTCCATTGCCCCCCTAGGGCCCTAATGCCCCCATCCGCCCTCACTTTATGCCCCCGGTTTGGGCCCTTCTTAGGGCCCTGGGCCCTGAGGAGCGCCCAGTGGAAGGTCAGGCTGGAGACTAAACAGAAAAGAACCGAAGAGCGCTTGGCTTAGGCTTATGACTGGGCTTCGGCTTAGGCTTAGGCTTGGGCTTGGTCTCAGCTTAGGCTTGCCCTAGTTTTGGCTTAGGTTTAGCTTAGGCTTAGGCTGAGACCCAGGCTTAGGCTTAGTTACGGGCTTAGGCTTGGCTAAAGCTTGGCTTAGGATCTGCCTTAGGGCCAAAGAGATCCATGACTTCTGGCCCTAGCGGCCCAGAAAACTAGGACCCAGACCCGGACCTTGGCCCCCAAGCGAGACCGGAAAAAACAGGAAACCCACCCGCGCTACTGGCTTGTGCTAGGGCCCGGGCCCCGGGCCTTAGGGCCCGGATTTTCGTGGGCTCTAACGACAATCAAAAAAATTATAGTTGAGTATAAAGGCTGCAAAAAGCTTAGATATAAATATCAATCAAAAAAATTAATCTAAAAATGACTGGGGCGTTGGCAGCAAAAACTTTCTCGGTTTTTTTTGGCTCAAAGTTCACCCCATTTTTTCAGAGCGACGAAATCGACCCGAGCATCAGCATCAAGGAGCTGATCGAGAGCATCAACTCGGTGCCAGAAGCTGCCTACATTATGCACCACATCGTCCAATTTGCCACCGATCAGGCGACGACCGCTACGAGGGCAACCGCACAGCAAAAGGTCGGTTTTTGGGGGTAGTTAGCAATGGTATGAATCGGGGACTATTTTAAAGGAAATTGGGTGATGAACAAGGGCAAGCTAGCAAGGATTCTGTAGGAATGATGAATATCGGAGCCTTGTTATGCTGTAACTTCGCAAACTTAGTGCCTCATACGCTCAAAAGCTAGCCTACGCAGAACTATATCGTAATCTGGTAAACGCTGGCTAATGTAAATGTTCAATGGACTCCTACGTAGTCGTACTTTATAGTCTAGCCTCAATTTTCATTAAAACCTCATAATCCATGCGAGCAAAGACACGGTTCAAGGTATTTTCCGCGAACTTCAGACTCTAATCAGGGTGGTGTGTTTTGCTTAGGCGCGCGCGGCTTCAAGGCACGACCCTTCGTAAATAAGTATTAAGGGGGAGAGAGAGAGAGAGAGAGAGAGAGAGAGAGATAGATAGAGAGAGATAGAGAGAGTGATGTTGTGTATACGTGGGGCCGCATTCTCCATTTTTTAGCAGGGGTGTTGGGGCCGCTGCCCCACCACAAATAATGCATCCTTAATTATTTGACCGAGAGCCCGAGGAAGGCTAGAAGCTAGAAGGGTTTTTGGAATGGGGGCCTATAGTTAATGGATAGATACCGTAGATTAAAAACCAGGTGTCGGGCTTTAGAAGGAGAGGAATATTCATGAGATAAAATCTCTATTTTTAATGTTTCCTGACCATCGGAAACTGCCAACAAATTTTAAAAATTTTTTATTCCGCTGAACCGGCTGGCTTGACTGCCAAATTTTGTGCACGTTCAGTGCATTGCACAGTTTTATTGTCTAGAGCGCAGTCATTCTTGCACCGGGGTTTTTTGCCAATCTGGCGCTAATCCAAACCCCTGCCCCCAGAGGATGTATAATTGTCGTAGTTTGCTGCAGATTATGCACCAAAAACATGGAAAATTAGAGCTAGAATCTAGTGGTCAAGATTCTTAAAATATTTGAAAAAAGGCAGTTAGGGATTTCTATCAAAATCATTCAAGAAAATTGTGGAAGAAATTGCGTTACATTAAAAAGATCCTAAATTCTACTGAAAAAAGCTGAATAATAGTTAAGTAATAAATTAGCTAGTAAAGATTAAATAAACATTTCAATTGAAATTTTCATAAACTTAGAATATTAAGGTTGTCTTCGAATCTTAGCATGTAAAAAATCTAATAAATGGTGATCGGAGGAAAAAAAGCAAAAAACGCTAAAAAAATATGCGTTTTCAACTGAAAGATGTTTTTATAGTAAAGCATGGATTTCCAGCAGACGAAAATACTTATCAGAATTGGTTCTGTACGAAAAACAACACCAAACTTCCATGAAAAGCCACTGACAGCCCCCAATTAACGACATGTTCCGGGGAACTTAGTTAGGAAAGGGTGGAACACATGATACACACCACCTAGCTCTCTCTCTCTCTCTCTCTCTCTCTCTCTCTCTCTCTCTCTCGCTCCCCACCCCCTGGGGCCCAAGTCCATGCCGCATTGTTTTTCTGGCCATCACCCAAATCATGAGCAGCAGCTCCCCGGTTAATGTTCTTTCCTAAGCGTCAGTTGCTCCAAGAAAAGACATGGTATATCGGGAACACGGAAAGGATGGTTAATTGCCCCGGAAATGGCTTTTGGGGTAGAAAATGGAGATTGAATTTTTGAGCACGAGCTCGGGATCCCAGATCCGCAATCATGAAGTTGTTGAAATTTCGACGCAGTGATTTTAAAGGTCACCGGAACTCATATTTCTGAACCAACGTCATGAGCTCGACAAAAACAAGCCTTCTGGAGTTTCTATCATACCGTCAAAAACCTTAATGTCTAAATTTCAGAATGGCCAGATTCAAATATGTAAAAATTTCATATTGTCGAGTTTCATAATGTTGAATACCATAATGTCGAAATTCCATAGTCTCAAAATTTCAGAATGTCGAAATCCAGAATATCGACGCTTCAAACCGTTGATATTTTTGCATAGGATTTGGGGTTTTTTCGGCAGTTTTGCCTATGTAATTCTCGGTATTTTGCAGCTTCGACATCGAAATTTGGACGTCCTGAAATTTCGACAATATGGCTCGCGACATTCTGAAATTTTCGACATTATGAAATTTCGAAGCTAGAAAATTTTTAATTTATGAAATTTCGACGTCGTGACTTTCGACATTCTGAAATTTCGGTTTATAGAGATGAAAATTGAGCTTCTGATTACCGTAGGGCTGATAAAATCAAATTAAACCCGGTCAGTCTTGCTCCCTCAAGGCAAGGGAATTTTTATGGTGCCCCAATAAGGGGTGGTGCTCGAAGAGGGAAGGAAGCATGGGGTCGGGGGCCATTCCTGAGGGCTTGTGGAGGATATTAGATGACGCTGGGTGTCCCGTAGAGCACGAGAAAGAGGGAGAGAGAGAGCATTGAAGAATGACCTCTTGTCCACTAGAGGTTTTCCGGGCTTTTGCCCTGGCCTATGGGGAGGGGCTTTTCTCGGTTTTTTGATGGCTATAAATGGAGGTCGGGAATGGAAAAAACAAACCATCGGCCTCCGAACAGAAAGAGAGACAAAGAGACAAAGAGAGAGAGAGAGAGAGAGAGAGAGAGAGAGCGTGAGCGAGATCTAGCAAGTTTTTCCATCTAAACCTAGTTATATCCCGAACACCCTCCAAAAGCAGCCCGGGGGCACGCTGCTAAAAATTGCATTTCCCGGGTCCTCATCTTCCCCATTCGGAAGGGGTCACATGGCACGCTGGGAAGGCCGAGGGGTGCGCGGGTTTTGGTCATGGGTCATAACAAGAAAAAAAAATTGGGGCCAGGAACTAGAGCGAGAGAGAGAGAAAGAGAGAGAGAGCGATAGAGTGAGAGAGAGCGAGAGGAGAGACCGCGAGCGAGAGGGTGAGAGAGAACGTCTATCTCCAGAATTTCATCATTACAAAGCTGTCCCAATCCAAACAATAGCAATGTCCAGTCGCTGAATGATGCGTAGTCGAGATAAAGCCTCCTAGTCACCCGCCCAAAGGACCCAAAGCAGGGCCCCGTGGGGCCCTGCTTTTTCTTCTGGGTCTTTCGAATTTTCTGGGGTCTTCTGACTGAGCGATGATCTTCCCCTCTCCCATCCCTCCTTCACTTTAGAATGTATAGTGGCAAAACAACGGAATTTATGGACTTTACCTCCGTCTGGCTCGCCGCCTCTGAGGCACTAGCCAAAACAACCAGTTTTCGTTGACTTTGAGCTTTTTGAAGAGAGAGCGAGAGAGAGAGAGGGAGCGAGCGAGAGAGTGAGAAGCACAGGATCAGAGAGAGACAGAGGGAAGCCGGGAGAGAAAGAAAAAGGAATTTCGAAATGACAATTTGTAAGGACCCACTTTCAAAAAACAAGGAAGTCTCGAATTTACGGGGGAAAGGGGCAGGCGAGCAAAGAACATTTCGGAATTCTGGGGGATAGCTTTGAAAATTTCACTGGCAGAGCTTTGGCGGCTTATTTTAAACGTAGGTTGAGTTCCGCTAAATTTACGGTAAGCGCAAGCTAGCAGAGAGCATTTGAGAATTCAACTAGAGCAATCAACTTCAACGGCTCTTTAAGATTTTACAGTATAATGGATGGTCCCATCAGCTTTCTGACTAATTTGTTTCGATTGGGAATACGGGAAAAGCTGACAAGGAGATGGTCTCAGCTCGACACCGAATTTCGATTTGAAAATTTGCACACTGATAGAGCTCGACGAGACGAATCGATTGGTGTAACTTTCAGCTGCCCATACCAGAATATAGCCGAGTTATAAGCATTTTAAGTTTTTGCATACATTTAGCAGATTTTCTGCCCTACCTTCATAAGCCCTCCCCCTTCCCCCATCACCATGGCCCATTGGCCTAGTGGCCTAGTCGGCGGCGTGCGAGGAATCTATCGAAGGTTCGAACCCGCCAACGATTTTTATTTTTTGCTTTTTGGCACAAATGCTTCCATTGGCTTTCTGAAGGCCTGGAATCATTGTTTATTCCTTATTTTAGCTCTTGCAAGGCGCTGTGACCATAAAACATCTTTCTTCAGAAATTGGAGATTTGACCCCAATGGGCATTAACTGTCCCAGAAACAAAATTCCAAAAAGAACAAAAGTTAAGGATCAACATAATTTACGGTAAATGCGTTGTTATCAGAAAGTCTTTTTCATTCTCGCAATTTTTTTGAAAATTCCAGGCCTTCAGAATGCCAATGGAAGCATTTGTGCCAAAAAGCAAAAAATAAAAATCGTGAGCGGGTTCGAACCTTCGATAGATTCCTCGCATGCCGCCGACTACGCCACTAGGCCAATGGGCCATGGTGATGGGGGAAGGGGGAGGGCTTATGAAGGTAGGGCAGAAAATCTGCTAAATGTATGCAAAAACTTAAAATGCTTATAACTCGGCTATATTCTGGTATGGGCAGCTGAAAGTTACACCAATCGATTCGTCTCGTCGAGCTCTATCAGTGTGCAAATTTTCAAATCGAAATTCGGTGTCGAGCTGAGACCATCTCCTTGTGAGGACTCAGGCTTCAATGGTCCTTTAAAAGCCGTCCCTAAAAAATTCCCTAAAAAATATATTCTTGGCTTCAACGGCCCTTTAAAACCATAATTAGGTGGAACCTGGAACGAGAAATCGAAAAGTGATACACCCCGGTCTGGTCGAACTAGGTGGAGGAGCGAAAATTGAGAAAAATCGCCTCAAAACATTTTCGTGGCGGGACCCCCAGGAACTCACAGCCACCATATCACCCACCCCCACCAGCGAGAGAGAGAGAGAGAGAGAGAGAGAGAGAGAGAGAAAGAGAGAGAGAGATACCAGCACTGGCTTGAGATGGGGATCCATCTCAGGAGCAACAGCTGTCCACTCCAATGGCTGATAAAAATAGTCTGGGCCCTCGGGTCTTTTGGCCTTTTTTCGGGACCCAACCCGCTTGAATGGGCCAGACCAAACGCTGGTTTTCGGGTTTTCGGGTCATGGCTGCCGGGGATTCCTTTTCTTAACCCCCTGCCGGACCGCCATGAAACAACACCACCACATCCCGATGGGCTATCAGAGCTGGGGGAGGAGTCGGAGATGGAGGCGGAGGGGGTGAAAAGCCGACAATAAGCTGCCGATTGCGTTTTCAAGGGAAAGAAAATCTTTCAGAAAATCAAAGTCATTGCGAAATTACCGACAATGAAAATGTCGACTGCCCAAATGACAATCGAATTCGAATGGTCAAAATGCCGACATCCGAAGTTCCATCCGCGCCGGCCGAACGCCGACAAGACAATATACCGATAGTCAAAATGCCGTCGAAGGTGAAAACGCCGACAGCAGAAATGCCGACAAAACAGACTGCTAGCAGTCGAAGGTCATCAATCGAAATTTGAAGATTCAGAATGCGAACAATAAAAATTCCACCAAGGCAAGATGCGGACAAGCAAAATACCGACATGAAAAGCGTAAAATTGAAAAAATACCGACAACTCAATTTCAAAATTTCATTACGCTCTCTTTCTCTCCCTCGCTATCGCTCTCTCTTTCTCTCTCTCTCTCTCTCTCTCTCTCTCTCTCTCTCTCTCTCTATTCCTCTCGAACTCGGCACCTTCCGGAATGATCCAGAAATGCCGACAAGTACTCGGAACCACTAATCAATCTGGCTACGGGGCCAACTAGCGAAGATTCTTAAGGATTTCCAAAAGTGCTCGGAGATTGAGAAGAAAAAGAAGAACGGCTTTGAGTACGGTATCCTCGGTCTGGTAGCGCAAAACTCGGAAAATGTGTCAAAAAAATGAACTTTGCAAAAGCCTGCCTCCCATGGCTGACCTTATCCAATTGGCCGGCGGTATTCACAGAGTCTACTGCCCGTTAGTTGCCCCCAAAAACGAGCCGATGAATATTCTAGTGGATATGGTGGGGGTGGGCAGCCCCGAGAATTTGGAATGAATTCCAGAGAACCGCAAAAAATTCAGAAAAATACCCTGCCATTCGCCCTGGTGAATCATTGGCAACCAGCGCTTTTCGCTGGCCTTACATTGCCCCGGGGCGGAATTTATTATTATTTTATAGCAGCCGGAAATTGGTTTTTAAGGATCAAATTTGTTGCTAGGATTGATGCGTCTGGGGGGAGTGGATGGATGAGTTGAAAAATTCAGAAAATCAGAATTTAGCAATTTATCATGAGAAATTGGTTTGGAATTGGCTTGCCAGGTGGAGTAGAGAGAGCGAGGGAGAGAGAGCGAGAGCGAGAGAGAGCGTGGTAGAGAGATAGAGAGGGCGCGTGAGGGAGAGATCGAGAGAGGCAAAAAATGGTATATATAGAGAGCGAGAGCGAGAGAGAGGGAAAGAGATAGAGAGGGCGAGAGAGATAGAGAGATGAAGGGAAAGACAGAGAGAAAAAATTCGATATCACTAGACACTTCAATATTGAAGAAATTCTATTTCGAACTAAAAAAGCAAGCCGCCAATTTGGACGTCGACCAGCCTAAACATCTTCCTCAAAACGGAATCTCCGGAAATATGTCAGCTTCGGGGCTAAAAGCCCCTATCCTGGGCCATCCCATTCCACCCACCCACCCATTTTTCGACTTTTGCTCGGCCTTTTCCGGGGGTCCGTTTCCCTTTCGGAAATGCACGGCCCGACCGGTACTTATGTGGGTTTTTGGATGGGGCTCTTTTTGGGTAAGGAGACGCAAATAGCCCGTTTCTTGCGGGGGGGGGGGGAGGAGGAACATCATCCCATTTCGACGGCACATCATCTGGCACACGAATTTCTGTTTGTCAGCGTTGTTTGTCTCGGCAATATCAAAATTCGGGGGAGCGCCAGGCGAGTAAGCTAGCAGAGAACCTTTAGGAATTCGCTAAACTTGTTTTGACAAACTAGCAGCGAATTGTGAGGAATTAAAAACTGTTCTTTCTTATGGAAAATGATTAGGCATATTTAAAGTACCTAGAATTAAATAACGGAGCGCAAAAGTGTCAGAGCCTTGATAATGGCGACTCTGGGAATACCGACAGGCTTTTCCATACAACTTCTAAGTCCCTTTAACCATCTAAGAAATTCGGCAACGATCCTCAGATGATCAAAGTTCATCCGGCGGAATTTAGTTGCCTCCCCCTTCTGCCACCTATTAGCCATGCAAATTGGGGTGGCTGAATAATTGGGCTGACCAGGGGGCCGAGGAGTCTCGCGTGACATCGCCGAATTTTGGGCGACGATTTCTGGTTCAGACGGGGGAAGCGGAAGTAGTAAAATATCGGCTTTTGGAGATTTTGCACTAAGGATATCGTAAAAGCACTTAAAAAAGCACTAGAATTCATCGCGAAAAATTGATTATCCAAGATCAAGATGAGAGAGAGAGCGAGAGTGAGAGAGAGAAACATCGAGAGAGGGAGAAAGAGAAAGAGAGAGGAGAGCGAGATAGGGATATTTTGCTCTCAAAATGGCAACATTCGCATGAAAAACCTCATGAGTTCTAATCAAGCCAAAAAAATCTCGGGCCGCAAATTGCTCGCCGGCGACGCAACACAATTTTCACCCTCATTTGCCTCCTTCCGCCAATCTCGGGATTTGAGAGGATTCGCAACCCGAACTTCGGACCGATCGGCCGGTGCCATTCGGTTCCAAGCCGCAACTCTTGGGATGGCAGATTATTTTTGACGAGGAGAGCAAGAGAGAGAGAGAGAGAGAGAGAGAGAGAGAGAGAGAGAGAGAGAGAGAGAGAGAGAGAGAGAGAGAGAGAGAGAGAGAGAGAGAGAGAGAGAGAGAGAGAGAGAGAGAGAGAGAGAGAGAGAGAGGTGAGAGAAAGAGAAAGAGAGAGAGAGAGAGAGAGAGAGAGAGAGAGAGAGAGAGAGAGAGAGAGAGAGAGAGAAAGAGAGAGCGAGAGAGAGAGAGAGAGAGAGAGGGACTGAGAGAAAGCTAAGCTAAAAAATTCAACCCATCCAATCCATCGGAACACCAAAAATCGAGCCCCTAAAACCGGACATCAGCCACAAGAAGAAAACGAAGGGTGGGGCGACCTCTTCGAGTCGTACAGCCGCCCGTTTTCTAAGTACGCGCTTTTTTCCGGAAGGGGGATGAAGCCTGGGAGGAAGTCTCGAGGGGATTCCCTGGCCCGCCCTTGCTTACCCTTCCTCCTTTTTGACTGTGTTTTGCCCTATGGAACGACCATGGAGGACCCGCCCCTTTTTGTCTATTAGTGCGGATTAGGTTAAGATGGGGACACTTATAATCTAATGTAATGCTTGTTTCGGGGATTGGGTTTTGAAAATTAAGCCTAGCAACTAAGTTTTAATTGAATTTAAATTCCTGTTAAAATTCCCTTTTCAGGAGGCTGAGGCGAGGATCATGCAACTGGAGCAGCAGACGTTCATCAACGAGCAGCTGCTGGAGAGCGTCATCATTGATCATAATTTGGGTAAGAGAGACAGGAAGAGAGAGAGAGAGAGTGAGTGTGAGATGGAAAGAGTGAGAGAGAGCGAGAGATCGAGAGAGAGAGAGCGAGATGTGTAGGTAGTGAGAGATAGAGAGATAGAGAAAGAGAGAGAGAAGAAGAGAGACTTAGAGCGAGAGAGAGAGAGAGAGAGAGAGAGAGAGAGAGAGAGAGAGAAAGCGAGGATCAGAGAAGAGCAAATGCGTGAGAAAGAGCGAGAGAGCGAGAGAGAGGTGGAAAGAAACTATTTTTCGAAAATTCGGGTTATCGAAATTCATTTTTTCTCCCATATTCGAAAAATCTCGGCCAGGAAAATTGGATAAAAAAGCAATGCAATTTTTTTGTACAAATTTTTAAGTGGTTTTCGAAAAATAATCTTTTCGGTAAAGTGATTTTTGAAACAATTGTGAAATTTCTTAAAAAAATAACATTATCTTTGAGCTATGAAAAACCATTAACTATAAAACTCGGCTGCGTGTGAGGAGCTTCCGAATGTGTGTAGGGGGTATGTGTGGGGTGGGGAGGATTTGGAGAGGCGTGGGAATCAGACGAGCGCAGGGAATCCGAGCCGCAAAATGGGGCTGAAAAAACGGCCGACCCGTCCAAAGAGGACTTCTAAAGGACTTGAGAAGGCGAGAAAAGGGATGGGATGGATGGAATGGGTGGAACTGTGCTGTTGAATTAGCCAGGGTTCAGTCATCACCTTCCAACGTGCCAAACGGCAAATAGAAATCGGAAAATAGGGGAATTTCTGTGAATTTTGGGGCTGAAAAACATCTGCGAAACTGAATGGGAAATTGGCATACCGTAAGCTTAGGTATTTTTAAAGCTAATTATACATTAAATATACTTTTGACGACTCCTTAAAGCCGCTAAAACGGAAGGTCTTACTGATTACGCCATTTAATTCCATACCCGACTGAAAACGGATAATTAAAAGGTTTTTATCAATTACGACATGAAATTACAAGAATAACAGTAACCTAGCGATCAATATGCGTATAAAATATATGAATACATAAGATAAACAAAGCAAGCTAACCGGTTGCGCATAAAAATGCACCGATTTTGGATCAATTACGGCATCAATTTATGCTCAGTGAGCTTAAGCCCTGAGTCGGTATCGAAATAACGGTATCAAAATGACTGTCTTAACAAAGCATATACCAAATTTTCCGCAGGCAACTGATTACGCTATGAAAATCTAGCTGTTTAATTGATTACGGCACGAAAATCAAATTGCACTCTCGCTATGAATAGGCTATCGGGATCATCTTTATCCTGACTAGAAACTACAAGAAACCACAGGCTTCAAGAAGCAAAACCGCGCCGCCGACGGGACTCGAACCCGGGCCCCCAGTTTCGTAGGCCGCGTCCTATACCCCGAGGCCACGCCCCGAAGGGAGGGCGGAGTCGTCTTGGCCCCGCCCTCCACAATCCCCGTGGTACGTGTGGTGCAGAGGTTAGCATGTCGGACCCCCAATCCGGAGACTCGGGTTCGAACCCCGACGCGTGCAAAAGATTTTTGCTTTTTGCTTTTTGGGAGGAGGTAAAAGAGGGGGTAGTAGAGCCGATTTTTGATAGGTTCAAACCGTCCAAGTATTGTTCAGGCCTAAAATATGATTTTTAGTAAACGAGCTCGGGCAGTTGGACGGAAGGCGAAAGATTTCGAGGTCAAACTCGCGGGCTTCCGGTTCTTCTGCCAGGAATTCCAGTCCATCACATGGAAATGGTACTGGTTTGTTTATTTTTGGGTTTGCAGGGAGAGGAAAGCTAGCAGGGATTCTTGGAGAACTTTTTCTAACGCTCTTTCTATAGCTCTCTCATTTCGCGCTCTCTCTCTCTCTCTCTCTCTCTCTCTCTCTCTCTCTCTCTCTCTCTCTCTCCTTCTCTCTCCCGCTCTCGTTTATCGATATTTCTAGACGACTACGATCACAAAATCCGGCGTCGTGCCACGACCGCTGAAGAGCTACTGTACCCCAATGACGATCCCTCAGAATCGCTCCACTCGAATGCCAGTGACGGCCAGCTGTCCGATCGGCAGAGGAGGAAAAAGTAGGCTTTTTTGATAGATTTTGACTTGTCTGTCCCTTTAAAAACCCTAGCACCAACATTCGGTTTAATCTATTTTAACTCCAATTTCTATGCAAATTCTGTGTGGCTGCGAGGATGGTTTTTATGTTTTTGGATGGCTTTTCTTACACAGCACAGCACATTAATGGCTAGAGAATCCAGAAAGTTAAATATTGTGAATTTTCGAATCATAGAAATTTTAGACGAATGTTATTTAGATCTTACGCAAATTTAAGATTAACAAAATTAAATCGTACAACAACTGAAAATATTATCAAAATTTTATTAACATATTTTAACCAATTTTTTTTTGTATTTCGAATGAATTAATGATTACTTAAATATTTATAATTAGATTAAAGTTTTATAACATTTGTGTCCAATAATAACAATTCGTAACTCTGTTTATTTGCTAATTTTTAAACAATTAATTTAATATTGAAGAATAATTTGACATGAAGTAGTTTAATTAATGTAAAAACACCTTATTAACGCAGTAATATTTTTAATCGAAAATTACTGAAAACAAGTTACCGTATCCCCAAAAACCGCTTGCTAATCCGTGGATAGTCTCTGTATGGTGTAGTGTCGTTCCGCTGCCCTCATCCGCCTCGGCCACCCATCCGCCTGCATTTCTACGGAATGGCCGGCTGAGGTCGACCATTGCGTCGATCCCATCGTCTTCTTCTACATCGTTGGCTTCCGCTTCTACGACATCTGCATCGACATCGACGACGACAACAACAACAGGAATGACACCTGGTGCTCGTATCATTGCCAATCGGAGGGCGCTGGCCGAGAGACGGTAATTTGATTTTTGAATTGTTTTGGAGAGAAGGGGTGAATTAAGGGGAGCGTGACACTCGAGCGAGAGATGTAGAAGAAGAGAGAATGGGAGAGAAAGCGCGAGAGAGACAGAGAGAGAGCGAGAGAGAACGAGAGAGATTGCGATAAGGAGGGAGAGACAGTAAGAGTGAGAGAGAGAGAGAGAGAGACAGACAGACAGAGGCAGAGCCTGAGTGAGAGCGTGAGAAAGAGAGAGAGAGCGAGACAGATAGAGAGAGAGCCTGAGTGAGAGCGTGTGAAAGAGAGTGAGAGAGAGAGAGAGAGAGAGAGAGAGAGAGAGAGAGAGAGAGAGAGAGAGAGAGGTAACGCGAGGGAGGAACAGTGATTGTAGCAAGTCCCGACGCTCCCTTCAAACCATGCCACAAAAACACAATTTAATCAAAATTTCGGCTACCGTACACCGATTTTTGGAAATTCCGTTTTTCTAATTTTTTTATTTTTTTTCGGTATTGTAGCATGGATCTCGAATTTCTTGAAAAAAATCCGGAAACAATTAACATTTTTGGCTTTTTTTTGTCCCTTTAAAAATCGCCACCCCTTCTGCTCCCTCCCAATCTTACCGTAGTATAGTCCCGGAATTACAGTGCCTAATGTACTACCGTAGTGTGCGTGCTGTTTCAGCCAGGCGGCCAGTGCTTCTCGACTGCCACCGCTGGCCGAGGTGTCCCCATCTACCCTCAACCCCTCCACCTCCACGACACTACACAAGACGCCCTCAGCCCCCAGTCTACAGGCTGCGGGCGCCCCTGGCGGCCAGCGCAGCGTCTTCGCCAGGCTTCACCCCGCCTGGGCCAATGAGAACTCGCCGTCGAATATACTGAACCGGTTAATCCATTAATTGATATGATTTTCATTGAATTTTTGGTTTGATTAGCACTAGCACCTACTCATCAACACCGGCTACCGTAGTTCTGCACCTAAATCAATGCTAAAAATTGTCAAAAAAGCAGAATTTATAATTTTGCAAAATTTGGATTGAAAATGGTTTTGCGTTACTACATTTTTCATATATTTAAATTTTAGTGGTTCTTCCCGACAAATTCTACAAATTTCGATTTTCAAAAGCATTTTTCTTCTATTTTTTTCTAAAATTTAGAGTTTTCAAATGTCAATAGAATTTCTTAAACTGCAATTATACATTTTTTACCGAATTCCAGTATTTTTTAAGTTTTCCTTCTTTTGTTCATTTGCACCAGCTTTCCACACACCATTAATTTGAATGAAAACTAGCCTATAATTAGCATAATTCAAATATATATTTTAGCAAAAAAGGTATCACTCCATTCAATTGATTAAAAAATCGATTTACGAAATTGTAACAAGAAATTAATTTTGAACCGAGTCAACTTTAATATAACAATTCATCGATTTAGATTAAACCCATTAATTAATCAGCTTAATCAACAAAAATTGGTTAATCAATGTTATTACCATTTAATGAACATAATATAGTTAATACGGGCTTTAGACCGCTCGGGCCAGACGATTGCTAGTGAGTAACCGTAACTGTAACCTCTTTCGCGTCCAAGAATGTCCAAATTTGTCGTCAAAAGTTGTCCAAAGCTCATTTCCTACCGTAATCGAATATCGTAGTCAATGTCAATGTCACTGTGTACGCTAAGCTCCTATGTGCACATATTGTACGAAAATTAGGTTCTGTTTTAGCAAGAAGGGCGAGATCGTGGCGGCAAAGGATCGAGGCACCGGGAAGCTACTCCGAACAGCCATTCTGGACGGTCATGCAAAACCTGTACTTGCTGTTGATGGGCTAGAGAACTTGCTGGTGACCGGGTCGAAAGGTATTGTGGTTAATACCAGGTTTTAGAGGGGCAGAAGACGCTAAAATCGACCTCTTTCCTCGGCTGGATCTCGACCCCTACGTTTTGATGCCAAAATCCGATGTGAATGGCTATCTTAAGCTGTAAAATTTTAGCGGAAGGAGTTGCGCAGCGTAGCGTCTAAGGGTCTTACAGAATCCTATTTACTAAGGGAGTCCCGGATCTGAACTTTTTCAGATCGATTGGCAAAACTCTGGGACCTGGAGCAGGGTCAGGAAGTGGCTACGCTTGGAATTCACCCTAACAACGTCCATGCTGTCAAGTAAGTCAGAGTGCGAGAGAGGGACCGAGAGCGAGCATGAGCGAGAGGGAGAGAGAAAGACAGAGAGAGAGAGGGAGAGCGAGAGAGAGATAAAGAAGAAGAGAGAGAAAGATATGCAAATTCGATTTTTCAGACTCGTCCCCAACTCCCACCTCGCCGTCACCGCCTCCATGTACCAGATGCGAATCTGGGACTTGAGAGAAAACAAATGCGTCCGATTATTCCAGAGCAGCGGGCAGGTCGTAGAAGGTAGGAAAACAGTGAAATGTAATGGAATTTGCTTACAAAAAAACTCCTCTGCCTCTATGAGGCTCATTTAACAGTAACCGCTCCTTTTTAGGTGACGGCGGCCCGATCGGCTCCCGGCAAAATACCGTCCCATTCCTGGAAACGGTAGTCAATGCAATTGATATCGACCCAAGTGGAGAACTTCTGCTTTCCGCTTTTGGCGGAGATGTTCGAGTTTGGAGCCTATCGAAAATGGCTTCATTTGGACGATTGGTCGGAGCTGCGCATAGGTTAGTGTAAATCTCTCTATTCCTCACTCGCTCTCTGTTTCTCTGTTTCTCTCTTGTTCTCTCTCTCTCTCTGTCACTCTCTTCTTTTTCCTATTTTCCAAAAATACAGCTTTTTTTAGTCCACGCTCTGAGGTCTCTTGCCTATCGGTCGCTCTGGATACCGAAAAGAACGGTAAGGAAAGCTGCGAAGCGTCATTAGGTATATTTTTAGTATGCAACGTCTTCACCGGCTCTCGGGATCATTACGTCAAAATGTACACAATCCCAACGACCGGCGAGGGGATACATGAAGCAAAGGTAAGAAAACTAGGTCTAGATATCTCTCTTCCTCACTCCCGCTGTCTTTCACGCTCTCGCTCTCTCTCTTGCTCCTTCTGTGTGTATCTCGCTGTTTGTCTGTCTGTCCCTCTCGCTCGCTTTTCTCTATCTCGTTATCTCTAGCTTGCCATACCTCTCACTGTTTTAATAAAACAATTTCAGGTCGAATTCAATCCACCCCATTATGACAACGTCACTTGTATCGTATCGGACGAGAAGCACCTGTTTACGGCCAGCAAGGATATGGTACGGGATGCCGTAGCTATGATGTATTTTCCACGATTTTTAGAACATCATGAAAATCAATCTGCTCGACTACAAACGTGATCATCTCGAGCTGAAGGCGCATAATGGATACGTTCAGGTAGGACAGGAATATTTTAACTTTTTTCATTTACCTCAATTTTCCATGTATATCCAGACCTTATTTTTCGATTTTTAGGGAATGTGCAAAGTCCCGTTCCCCAATGAAACCTTGCTCGCATCTGTCTGCAAGGAGGGCCACCTCAAGCTCTGGGAGACTGAGTCGACGAGGAGGTTGAAGCTGGTGGATACGGTATGTTTGCAAAGAGAGAGGGAGAGAGAGAGGGAGAGATAGGGAGAGAGAGAGTGAGAGAGAGGAAGAGAGACACTACGGACAGCCAGCAGAGATTCATTGGGAAATTCATAAATTTCTATCTTTTTAGATCGAGAAAGCCCACCAAGATTCGATCAACAGCATCTGCTACTCTTCGGGGCTCGTGTTTACGGCTTCCAGGTACCTTTAAAACAAGATTTTTGTGCTTTTAGTCTATAAACTTTTAAAACTACACATGAATTCAAGTTTTTGAAAAATGAAATTTTACAAAAAACCGTAAATGTTTTACAAAATTTTTTTTATGATCGAAGCGATTAGTTCACTCTATTTTTATCGCATTTTTAGTGATACTACGGTAGCCGTGTGGCGCCCGAATACGACACTCGTCAGCTGATAAAGTCGATTTTTCGCGTATTTTTCGTAAATGTGCCTATATTTATTTCATTGAAAATTACCATTTTTCCTTATTATTGTCGTCATTTTAATGTTAGTGAAAATTACTTGTAGTCCTCGCCGTCGCTTTATCCCTATTTTTCTTACCATCTCTCTGAGTTTCCCCGGCCTCTCCAGATTCCGCGTGACTGTGATCCCAAACCGTGTTGTGTTGTGTGCCCATTTTTCAAAGAAAACTACCCAAATTCGATTTAAATCTATTTTAATTTTATTGAAACCGCTTTTAAAGGGACTCGGACGCCTGGAAAAACGTTGTATGCAAATTTTTCAATGGTAAATTTCGAAAAAATGCGGTTTTAGCTCAAATTTTTTCTTTTGCATTCCAAGTTCCTTTAGAATTCGCCTCTTTATCGTAAATTGTGTTGCCCCAATAATTTATAGTCTCAATTCTACCGTGGCCTTTTCTATCATATTTGCCTCACCAAAAACCCCCTTGAAATGCCTTTAGCCATTGATTTTTATTTTGTATTGCGTCTAGTTACGGATAAAATGATAAAAAAAGTCTATATGACGTTAAATACGTCAAGCAACTAAAAAACTACAGAAAATGGTTTTAAAAATAAAATTTAGTAACTTTTGAGAAAGCTACATTTTTTTCGAAAACAATAAGCAAAGAGCCTTGCGTATTTTTACAGTGGAAATTTACGGTGTTTCAGAGTACAATTCTTTAGCACCCCATTTCCGTTGGCGCCCTACACCCAGCGTCATTTGCAGTGCCCAGTAGCCCCTCTCTCGAGCGCTCTCGGCCAGTGTCCCCGATCAGCTGCTGAAAATAGCAACATCATACTATGCCAAAAGCTTTTAATTATGTGTACTTTAGTTTATAAGAATTCTAGACTTTCATTCCTAAAATATAGAAATCCTCATGCTAATACTAAGTTTTTAGAGGAAAAGTCATATAAAGCCGGGTTTTTCTATAGTTTCTGAATCTTAAAATCGCATAAGCGTTTTAAAAAAGCGCTAAAACTGGCATACCATTAATGGGCTTTTCATATACGCTCGAGGACGCATATTATTCCTATTGACCTAACTCTCCTTTCCCAGATGCCGGACGAAAAGAAGACCAAACCCACGGCGATGAAGCAGCGGCTTTTCGGTCCTCCGGTTCCGGTTACACCCGACGAGGAGAAGAAGGAATTTGTGGGTCACAAAGGCCCAAAAATTCTAGGAATAATGCTTCACCTACTGCTATTTATTTTAATGCTAAATTCGATACGTTTAGCCGTCCTCTTCAACACATCCAAACCCGCCGGCTTCCGTGCCGCAATTATCGACGGATACCGCCGAACGGGAAGTTGGCCAGGTACTCAAAGGTTGAAATTACTGTAAAAAAATAGTCGCAAAATATTTAAAAGAACTGGGAAGCCAAAATCCATGAAATTTTATCCAGAAAGTACCTAATTTAGCCAAAACCCTCGCCCCCGCTCGAATCACCATGGTTCCAGAATGAGCACGAGCCGGAGGAGGAGCCAAAGTATGCTTTTAAAAAGTCTCCTTAGTTTTACCTTGCTCTCAACAGCTTAAAATTCAGACCGTCTTCTTCCGGCACTGGTGCAGCGGCGAATCCTGATCCTGGATTTGGCAAGCCAAAAAGCGCTTAACACCATTTTTGTATTTTAGTGTCGATTTTCGGCAACGCGCCAGGTGCCCCGGGTGCTATTCAGCAAGAACCTGGTGAGGAAGAGCCGGATTTCGGCCCGGAAATGGCTAACCGGAATGAGGATCAGGTAATTTATCATTCTAAGAGGTTTCGGGTTACGATTAAAAGACGTGTTCTTAAATATAAGCGGAGATACAAACATCTGAAAGTATTTGAGGGTCCCGAATTGGTCGCCCGAGCCAACCATCAACGCATTTTTGATGATGCCGATGAAGCGCAGCCCGAGCGGGAGCAATTGGAGGTAGATTAACAGCACCAAAGACGTCAAGGTCACCGATGATGAAAAAGAACAATCAGCTACCATTTTTGCAATTAAAGGACGTAATCTATTAGCTGCCTAAGCTCACAAAATATTTTCTAAGAAAATCTAACCTTTAGGGGATTTTCGGGATAGTAATTAGGAATTAAAGGGGCTACGAAATTCCAAAAATTCGGTGACGCCCCGAAAATCGGAGCCCTGTACGTCGGAGGCCTCTATACACCCAGGAGCCCGGGAAGCTCGGAAATTTGAAATTGCCTGTTGTCACCTCGAAATCACGTTCTCGGCTGTTTCTGGACCAAATTTGATGCTTAAAACACCAAAACTATTTAAAATTAAGTGAGGATGTCAAAAATGGGCTCAGAATGCGCAAATTATAGTGTTTTCACAAAGAAACCGGGCAAAAACAACTTCGCGCAAAAATCGAAAGAGTGAGCGCTCTGGTCCCGCAGCGCCCGCTGGCAATTTGCCAGAAATCAAAGAGGCCTCCCAAAAGGGCTTTGATTTGGCATTTCGGAGCCCCTTTAAAGAAACCAAGGCGTTTGGGCTAGTTTTTGGGGGTGGATAATTAGGTATCGTAACTGATTACGTGTTGAAAAGCTTAAAAAATTAATGTGCCCTGTTCAGGCCAACCACTGGGCCCTGAACGAGCAACGCCCCAGAAATCTGACGGCCGACGGGGAGCCCGTTGTGTAAGTTTTTACTTTCTTAGCTTTTTAAGATCGAATATAAAACATAAATATGTAAAGAAAAATATAAATAATAATTCATATACAGTAAAAAATATATAAAATATCGCACCCGACAACTCCTTTTTTCAGAAATGAAGACGGTAGCTTCACATTACGCGGCTACGAGGTGCTGAATAATTGCCAGCAGTTTTTGAGGAATCTGCAACTGGGAGGTACTTCTTTAACTAATTGTATATATTTTTAAAATCCTGCCTTATCTAATTTTGGGGTGTATCTCTGTGTGTGTGTCCGGCTGACACTTTCGAGGCCCGGTTTGGGGGCCTTCCGTGTTCAAAACGCCCCAATTCCACGTGACTAGGGGGAATAGACCCTCCTCTTTCCGATGGCGTTTTCAGAATCGCTATAAAATGCAAGTTTACAAAGTTAAAGCCGGCTTTACTAAATTTTGGGGCGTCGCAGAACTAGGAAGGACCCGAGCTATCGGAAAGTCAAATTTCTTATGCAAGGGCCTGATTCCAGCGCCCAAAGTCCGCGAAGCGGGTTATCGGCGCTGGTTTAATAATAGTTTGTGTATAGTAGAAAATAGGTTGGAAGGAATTTATTCCCCTTTTGCATGTCTAGTAAAAGTTTATTCCCCAGAAAACCGAGTTCCGCGCCTGTACTATGGAGATGAGGCCACGGATGACCTGGAGCAAGTCCCTGAGTGTTCGAGTAAGCCTTATCACTTCAAGTCCTAATGGCGGCTATCAAAACACTAGAAAATAAAATTAGCATCACTAAAAACATGTTTCTTCAGCTGCTGCCTCTACTCCAAGACGTCTGATTCCGGGCACCTTCCCGGCCAACACCTCTCATGTACTGGCGATTGGTCGGAATTCGAGTTATTCGAATCCAGGTAGGAGAGAGATGGGGAGAGGGAAAGAGAGAGGGAGCGAGAAAGAGAAAGAGATAAAGAGAGAGACAGATATCTATTCAGAACACCGTCCAGCCAACGCCGTCGAGACGAATATGCTGGGCTGGCAGGCCGAGAAGGGATCTTTGAAGGTACGTTTAATTTTGTTCTTTTCCAACATTTTTTTCTTTGCAGGAACGCCTCTCCTTCATGTACTGCAACGACATCCTTGCCGATGTTTACTTCATCGTCGGTCAAGGGGATAATCATCAGGTAATTGACTTGAATTAGAACTGCTCGAATGTGTGGCGGGCGCCTCAATTGCCTATATTTTTTCCGGCGTCCGGTCACTACCCCGAAAAGTCACTACCCCGAAAAGTCACTACCCCGAAAAGTCACTACCCCAAAAAGTCATTACCCCGAAAAGTTACTACCCCGAAATCGTTTGCCCCGAGAAATGGTAGCATTGTATTTCCCGGAAAAATCCAGTTTTCATGCGGATTTCCAATGAAATTCATGCAAATTATTTCGGGGTAGTGACTTTTCGGGGTAGTGACTTTACCCCATTTTTTCCTAGCTTTTGCGTAGCGACACACGACGCATTCGCGCCACTTTTTTTTAATTTGTAGCGCATCCCGGCCCACCGGTTCGTGCTCTCCATCGGTTCCGTCGTGTTCGATGCGATGTTCAATGGGAGGCTGACTCCGAAGAATTCTGGCCAAGGTATGGATCCGCCGATTATAGCCTCGTTCTCGACAGTCAAAATTCCGCCAAATTACGTGGAACTGCCAATCGCTGACGCTATAAATGCGCCATTTCGGCACGAGTTCACTCGCGCTAGCACTCGTATTTTGGAATGACGCAAAGTTGCCGAGATCTAGTCAAGGTTTCGGTTGATTGTGGCTTTTTCGATCTCGCTAAAAACATTTTTCAGGTCCTCAAGAAATTGAGCTCCCCGACATCGAGCCGTGCTCCTTCATGGCGCTGCTACGATTCCTTTACACTGATGAGGTCTCGATCGGACCCGACTCGGTGATGACCACGTTGTATACAGGTGATTTCCTATATTCAGCGCCAAATCGGCTCTTGACCTCACTTAAAAGACCTGGAGCTCAGGGTCGAGATGCTCCTCCCATATTTTCACACCGTAACCGGTTGTGCTCTTTGTCTGTCTGCGTTGTCAAATCCCTTTAAAACTTACTGTATGCCAAATTCCACTTTCAGCCAAAAAATACGCCGTTCGGGCCCTCGAAAACGCTTGCATCGACTTTCTGAAAGAATCCTTGGCGCCGGACAACGCCTTCATGCTTCTTACTCAAGCTCGATTATTTGACGAGCCGCAGCTTGCCGAATTATGCCTCGAGACGATCGATAAGGACACCGTACCGGCCTTGGATGCGGAGAGTAAGTCTGATTCCCAATTTTTTTAGAGAAATTTTGCCAGGTTTTGTCGAAATTGATCACGACACGTTATGCCTGGTCCTGGGACGAGATTCACTACGCGTTCGGGAGGCACAGCTTTTTCAGGCAAGTGATTGAGCTTGTTTTCCGACCTATTGTAGCTCCGATTTCTGAAAATTCTTTTGCGTAGAGCTAGCATTATTGCGCAGATTAGGTTCTAGAAAAGCCGATTATATTCCTTGAAATTGTGCTCCCGAAAGTACCACTAATAGAGCTGATGCAAACAAGATTTTAAGCACATTGTTTCGCTATGGTACGCTTATGTGTTAGCAGGAGGCGAAAATTGGCAAAATGGGGAAATTCAAAAGCCCGGGACTCAAAATGCCGACATTAAGTCAAAATGCCGACAATCCTAATGTCAATGTAGAAGTTGGGGGTCTGGCGTTTAGGTGACATTCTTGCTGTCGATAGTTTAGTTGTCGGTATTTTGGGTGCCAATATCCAGGCCTAAATAGCTGAAACATCGGCAGAACAATACCGACTAGCCAAAAATGCCGACAACAGACTTATTTAAATTCTAATTGAAACACATTTTCATGGTAAGTGGTCAATAGCTGTCGGTTTTTCAGCTGTAGGCATTTTGACTGATGGTCATCTAGCTGTCCGTATTTTGAAAGTCGGCATTTTCCCGTCGACCATCCGCTAGAAATCACCAAACAAACAGCCGATTTTAGGCAATCATCGCGTGGGCCACCGAGGAATGCGGTCGGCGAGGCATCCCGCAAACCTCAGAAAATAAAAGAGCCGTCCTTGGCCGGGCCCTCCCTCTGATCCGATTTCCGCTGATGACCATTGAAGAGTTTGCCCAAACTGCCGGTAGGTATCAGCTTTTTTAGAGCGAAAAATTACTCAACTAAAATCTGGACCCCCACCTTTAAAGAGGTAGTGACAGCAAAAAAAAAACAGTGAAATCATGAAATAAGGATATTTCCAGCCCAATCCGGTCTGTTGAGCGATCGCCAGATGGTGGAGTTGTTCCTCTACTATACCGTGAACCCCAAGCCGGCCACGCATTTTATTGAGAGACCCAGGAGTGTGATGGTCGGCAAGGAGTTTGTGGTGACTAGGTAAAATTTAGCAAAAGTCTCTCTTTCACTCGCTCTCTTACTCCCTCCCTCTCTCTCTCTCACTCTCTCGCTCTCTCGCTCGCTCTCTCTCTCTCTATCTCTCTTTCTTTCTCGCTCTCTTTCTCTCTCTCTCTCTCTCTTCTTCTCTCTCTCTCTCTCTCTGTTGCTCTCTCTCTCACTCTCTCTGTCCCTAATCCACCTTTTTCAGATTCCAGCGTATCGAAGGGCGCTGGGGCTACAACTTCACACCCGATAAAATTAAGTAAGTGGGAAAATTTTTTCTATAAAATGTTATTCAGATTTACGGTCGACAAGAAAATCTACGTCGTTGGATTCGGCTTGTACGGATCGATCCACGGTCCTCATGAATATCAGGCTACCATTCAGGTAATTTCAACGGCCAGCGAGAGAGAGAGAGAGAACGAGAGATAGAGAGAGATAAACGGAGATGGAGAAAGCCCCATTTCCAGATACATCACTGCGGTACTGGAAAGCTGTTGGCCCACAACGACACCACATTCCAGTGCGACGGCTCGCAGAATACGTTCCGAGTATCGTTCTTGGTAAGATTTTTGGAGAGAGCTGTAGATCCTTGCCTTCACTTTACCTTTAACCTGGCGGTTTTAAAGGCAGATCTAAGCTTTTTTTAGAAGCCGGTTGAGATAATCCCGAGCATCACCTACACGGCCAGTGCTTGCTTGAAGGTCTGTTTGAATGAATTTATGAATTTCCGATTTTTTAACCTTCGAAATCAGTGGTTTACGTGCAAAACGGGAAGTTTAAAATGTAGACGTTTTGCCCGAAAAGGTATTGCATAATTTAGGGCCCCGACTCGTTCTACGGCTCCAAGGGACTACGTCGCATTGTCCTGCAGCCCAGCTCGCAGACGAACAACGTCACTTTTCAGGTAATTTGCCTTTTCAAATAACAAAATTTTATTAGTTTTATCGTTGAATTTGCCTTTATACCTGGTTTCCGTTTATTTCAAGAGGTTCAAAATATATTTCTAGTTCACCTACGCCGCTGGCAACAATAACGGCACTTCAGTGGAAGACGGCCAGATCCCCGAAATATATTTCTATCGTAGAACTTTGTGATTTATGCAAAAAAGTAATTTATCCAACCTACATAGTCAAACATGCAGCTACGGTTCTTCTTCTTTATCATCTTTCTTGGTTTCAGTAACATTTTGTAGAGTTTACGCTGAACATCCACGCTTTTTCTAGATCCAATATTTATCGGAAATAAACGGTTTTCTAGAATTTAGATCACCTAGTGAAAATACAAAATCCGAAAAATACAAAAATGTAGGATTTTGGCGATATATTTAGGCCTTTCCAGCCGGTTTATGCAGATGCCAGCTGTAGCATGTCGAAATGTGGTATTCCATCAGACGGGACGGACTGGCTTTTAGCTAAAAAAGATTTTGGTTGAGCGAGTCCGAAAGAGAGAGCGAGAGAGACAGTAAGAGAGAGAGAGAGAAAGAGAGAGAGAGCGAGAGAGAGATAGAGAGTGAGAGACTCACCTCAAATCCACACTCCTCGGCAATGTTCAGCACCCGCATCGGCGAAATGCACAGCTTTTGGGGTGACCTCAAAGTTTAACGGTTACAACGGGCGATGGGCGATTTTGTAGCTTACAATGGATCCTTCTTGGCCTTGAAGTCGTTAGGAGAAAGTTGAGCGGTGATTAAACCCGTAGGATCGTCCAAATAAATATTATCGTATTCGCCGTTGCGGGTATTGTAGTTGGCGGTGAGGAGGGCGAACGGCATTGCCCAAACGCTTCACGAACTCGAAATTGAAAAGTAAACAGAAACGGACAGGCAGAACAAACGATAAAATGATAAAGCGAGCAAGAGATAAATAGAGAAAGATAGAGAGAGAAGAGGGAGAGAGAGGGAGAGGGAGCGAGAGCGAGAGAGTACGATAGAGAGCACGTGAAGCATTCCAAAAAGCGGCTGGCCGCCACCAGGAATGATTGGGTCGCACAATTCCCAGGCTTTTCGGAACTTTGCAGAAAACCGCCATGGCAACTGCCGTAAAAATATATCGAGGCTTGGGAAATAACATCAGAACCGGAAACGATACCACAAGGAGCCAGTCTCTTCAAAAATATCCTTTTGCCAAAACTTTTCAAAACTGAACGTTTCGTAGATTTCGGAAACGGGCTCGGAATAAGCACAAAATTCTGCATAAGACTGGCTTAAAGGGATGCCGACGGCATGATTCCCTTTCACCTGTTCGAAAATCATCTGTTCGAAAATCACCTGTTCGAAAATCATCCGTTCGAAAAATCATCTGTTCGAAAATCATCTGTTCGAAAAGACATCTGTTCGAAAATTCATCTGTTCGAAAAGTCATCTGTTCGAAAATCATCGGTTCGAAAATCATCTGTTCGAAAAATCACCGTTTTCCAAGCAACAACTTTTCCAAAACTCACGTTTTTTGAAAAGTCTTTTCATGACAAAAAAAAAACTAAAAAAAACAAAAAGACTTTAAAAGACATATTCATGACGATTCAGGTTAAAGTTTTGGCGATGTTGTCGAGGAACTCGGCCATATATTCTTTTTTTGTAGTTCTCGCAGAGCTGCTGCTGCTCGTCGATTGTCACCCTCGGGCGCTTCTTTGGCTTGGCGGAGGATTCGATATAGCCGCGCAATTTCAGATTTTCCTCGAACTTTCCCAAGAAACATGCGAAACACAGCATTTTAATAGCAATAGCTTCCCATAGAATTTTTCCCCATTTGGGACCTTTTTCGAATAGGTGATTTTTCGAACCGATGATTTTCGAACAGATGACTTTTCGAACAGATGACTTTTCGAACAGATGATTTTCGAACAGGTGATTTTCGAACAGGTGATTTTCGAACGGATGATTTTCGAACAGATGGTTTTCGAACAGATGATTTTCGAACAGGTGATCGGCCACCGTTGGCTACTTGCCAATTTGTTGATGGGGGGGATCGACACATGCCGTCGGCAGCCCTTTAAAGGGCACGGTCAGAGACGTTTTTTTGGAAAAAAAGCAAAGATTTTCGCCGCGGCCGGGGCTCGAACCCGGGCCTCCCGCTTTGGAGGCGCGGATGGATACCAGTCAGCCACAGCTACGACCTGGTAAGGGGGGCGAGGGCGCCCCACGTCGCAAGGGAGGGGAATGGCCTGTCACAGCACGGGCAGGCAGTGCGCGCGGTCCCTACGTCCATAGGGTGTACACGTTGGGACGAGTACACGGCCCCTCCCTGAACGTACGCTTTAAACCCGTAAGGAAACTAGAAAAAAACGTCTGCTTATTGGCGGGTAAGAATTTTCACGAGACTATCGAACTAGGAAATTCGGAAGCTGGGCATCATTTTTACTTGGAGAAAGATTGGTAATTCTCGTAATGCTGGGTTGATACGAAAAGCTTTATTCCTTAAAAATGTCGTTACAACTTTACAATCAGCCTCCGGACATAGTTGTTATCGTGGTAAACTAGAATTGTAGTCGAGTAAATAAAACATGCATCCAAACCACTCACCATGCACATTGCGACATAGCTAGTTTCGTAGTTGGACCCTGAATATTTCACCGATCGGCCGTTTGAGGCCTACAGGAGACGATTGGAAATCATTGAGCACCTTCCGATACCTTGACACTTCGAAGGGCGAAATTCGGGTCAATTGGCATGGTCCAGGTCTTATTGTATGCCAGGTAAGTTGCTGAGATGAGTAGTTTATTGGCTGCGATGCGGCTGAAAGAATCGTTCGTTACCGCAGCAAATCTACACAAAGGGGCCGCTGCTGTAATTGTCACTTTATTTCAGGGTCTGCGGCGCCACCGTTACGATAAATCCTACTATATACAAAAAAAATGGTCAAAACGAAGAATATCATAGGGTTAGACAGGGCCAGGGCTGAAAAGTCGCGAAGCGGCTTTTCAACCCTGGTGTTATTTTAATTTTTTTTATTTGGGAGACCAGCGCCCAAAACCCGCTTCGCGGGCCTTTGGCGCTGGAATTCGGCCTTTGCATAAGAAATTTGACTTTCCGATAGCTCGGGTCCTTCGGACCCCTTCCCCCCTGCCGAGCACACGCGCGAGTGCAACTGGCAAGAATGAGGAAATTTGTATTTTCTCGCATTATGCAAATTAGCCCTCAGGGACCCCTAAAAATGAATAAAACCGGCTTTAACTTTGTAAACTTGTTTTTTTATCGAAATTCTGAAAACGCTATCGGAAACAGAAGGGTCGATTCCCCCAAGTGACGGAGAATTAGGGCATTTTGGGCACGGGAAGGCCCTCAAATCGGGCCTCAAAAGTGACCTCGGCACACACACACAGACAAAGATACGCGACCAAATTATATAAGGTAGGATTTTGCTTACGTGATTTGCATTTGAATCTGCCCTGGGCGACATTCGCCGTCGTCTGGTCCGGCTGGATCCACTATCCGGTACCCATCTAGGACACAACAAATGGGAATTCCGATCATTTCGCCGAAAACCATCTCACCAAAAACCCGTTTGGCGGAAAATTATTAAGCCAAAAACCATCTGGCTGAAAATCTAATTTTTCGTGCAAATTTTTGGTGTAGTTCCCGCCATGTTCCAAGTCACAAAAAGTTAAGAAAGTTGCTGCTTTCTGGGGTTTGAAGTCCTTGGCATCTCCCCAACCATTTGAGCACTCAAAGTTTTTATTAAGAAAAAAATGTTCAGCAAGATTTTTCGGACAGTTCCCTGTATCGAATGGCATTTTCAAGATGTCGCTATATTTAAAACGCCGAAAATAGGTTCTCGCCGTTATCCTATGTGCTTCCCCGGGATTTTGGTCGAGTTTTCCTTATCCAGTAAAAAATCTCCTTCACCTTTTTCTGAGGCTAAAATTAATTTTCTGAGTACATTTTTGACTCTCGATCAGGGTTGTTCACCGACGGACCCGGATCGGTAAGGATCCGCAGTCGGATCCGGATCCAGATCCAGATCCGGATCCGCCCGGATCCGGATCCAATGCGGATCCGAGGAAAAAAAGGGACCGGAAGTAATATTCTCGATTCTGATGCTGATTCGGTCATATTAATCGCAAAAATGCATAGCCCGGAGGCAGAACTGATCTTTGCATCTAAGAATTAGCACTTAACTCGGTTGCATGATCCATTTCCTTGGATCTGGATCGGATCGGATCCGCCCTGGATCCGATCCAGATCCAGATCCGGATCCAGCCCGATCCGAAAATGACCAACCCTGCTCTCGATCAGGGTTGTTCACGGACGGGCTCGGACGAACGCGGGCCCGGACCCGTCCGCCTCCGAATAATTTGCTCCGGGTGAGCGGACGGGCTCGGACGGGTCCGGGACGGGCCGGACGGGCTCGGACGCAGGAAAGTAGCCGAGCCCGCTATGCAAAGCGCGGGCAGCCAAATCTCGCATGATAATTGATGAAATGACGGTTTATCGCCTTCTTTCCCAAGTAGAGCACTTATCCTACTATATATAAAAAAATAGTGTTTGTGTGTGTGTGTGTGCCACTTTGCATGCAACTTCCGTCAGCGTGTTCCAGTCGTATCTCAAGAGTAGTTAGGGGCATGTTTGATACGTCATTAGATGCGTAATGGGCTCGAGATGACTGCACGCATATCAAATTTATCAAAATGGCTTATTTTCGACATTAAATTTTAGTTTTTGTTGAAAAATCCGAGACCCTCTTTGTTAGGAATCAATTAGCATACACCGGAAGTTGCGGTAGCCTATATAAAGGAGCAGAGAACGCATTTTTCATTTTTTTAGCATGGGTCGGACCGAATTATGCAAAGTGTAAACTTTCATTGGTCCAAAACAGAGCCAGGGTTGAAAAGTCGCGAAGCGGCTTTTCAACCCTGGTGCAAACTAAGAAAGGGCAGCAATTGGTTCAATATCTTAATTTGCATCTAATAACTTTGCATGTGTTTCCGTCCATTTGCATCGCGGACGCGCGGACGCCCCAGCCCGCACTGCGTCCGTCCGGCCCGTCCGGGACCCGTCCCAGCCCGTCCGCAATTTTTTTATGCTAGTTGCGCGGAAATGAACAACCCTGCTCTCGATCGAATGGCAATTGCGAAATCCCACGGCAAATGTAAAAGAGCAGAAATAGGAGTGAATCTATGCGTCCCGAGATGGTTTTGGGCGAAATCGAGGTTACCTGACCCACGTGGTTCCGCGTGATTTTGGCTGTTTGGCTGAGTATACTGTGATCACCCTGTTTTAAAGGCATGCCGACGGCATAGCCAATCGATTACGCACGAAAAAGAAAAGGTCTCTGCGCCTCTCCCCGGGGCGGGCTCTCTCCCCTGTTGGCGACTTGCCAATTTGTTGATGAGGGGGGATCGACACATGCCGTCGGCAGCCCTTTAATTTGCAAAAAATGCCACCTTCAGCATAGTAAACGCCGCAAAGCGACTCTGCCACGTAGAGAATCTTGATCAGCGTGTGACCTTCTATGCAGGACTCGCTAGTATTAGCCGCAACATCCGCGTTGGCCAATGCGAACGCGAAACTAGAAAAATGGGTGATTACAACCGGCCTTATCTGTTGGAAAAGTCTTTTTTACCTTTACAACTCTTTTGCAGCACTTAATTTGACACCACAACTATTTTACTACTGGTTTTTGCAGCTACAAAAATCATATAAAAAATTTCGCCTTTGGAAAAAATTACCCCGAAAAATCATGACTCCGAGATATAATTTGATCATGGATTCTGAGATTTCCCAGGCTAACTTTAATGCTTTTAATTTTGAAAAGACAGCTTTGAAAAGCTGGATCCAAAACAGAAATTCCAGAGGTTTCAGAGTAAGATGCGACGTCGATCTTTTGACGCACTATGTTTCATGTGGCCCTGATGGAAAAAAGCAGATCTGCAATAGTGTGTTTTTAGTTTGTTGCGGTAAGCCTGTTTTGTTAAGCTAAAAGCTGCAAAGTTTGAAGTAGGCGTACATAGGAGCCAGCGTGCAGACCGAATCCGCCGCTTTTTTGCCTTGGGGCGCCGTGTAAGAAAATTTTAGAAGTCCAGCTAGCGACTGCTTGGGTCACCGCCGTAGGAAATTTCATTGAAGCGGAAACAGGTGGCTTTGAAATATCTTACTATATCGGAAAACCGGTCATGTCGTCAATCGTGTTGGTACTCCCATTAATCATCGCCGACATGTTGAACGACTGCCCAACATCCAACGGGAAATCCATCAGGCAGTGGGTTGCTGTAAAACTGTAAACGTCACGAATGGCACTGGCGAACTCCCACCGTTATTTAAAAAATTACCAGAACTGAAAAGACGCTTCGCGACTTTTCAAAAAATTGAAAAACCTCGTCTGATCCCATGATATTCTTCACTTTACATAATTTTCTCGAAACCAAATGGCATGAGAAAAAATGAAAACTGCATGCTCTCTTCCATTATATAGCCTATCTACACTTCCAGTGTATGTTGATTTATTCCTAACAAAGAGGACTGGCAAGAATTTTACACAAACATAACTTTAATGTTAAAAATAGTTGATTTTGTAAAATCTTATATGTGTGCAGTCGTCTCCAGGCCATCACGCACCTAATGACGTATCAAACATACCTTAAAACTGCTCCGTTATCGAGATGACCTCCGGACACGCTGACGAAAGTTGCATGAAAAGTGGCACACACAAACACACAAACACACAAACACTATTTTTTATATATACACAAACACTATTTTTTTTATGTAGTAGGATGGAAATAATGAGTGTCCCCTGATTGTAAGCCCGCCCCCCGCTCGAAATTATCAAAATTCATGGTCAGATTTCGAGATCGGGTTTTCGAAAGACAATCGGACCGAAAAAGTTCTTGAACCAAATGCTGCTGGACATTATTCACGATACCGTATGGTCCACGAAACCCGCCACCGATGCATTCATGGTAGTAGTCCGGATACGTTGTGGTGGGAGTAGTAGGTCTCGGCGTCGTCGTGGTCGTGGTCGTGACCACTATAAAAATCGTTACTTGTATACAGGATGTCACAAGCTTCACAACGAAGTTAGCCGCCGATATTACTTCCCCAACTGGGGGCACGGTTTTAGCCTAACCATCATTTTGAAGGAGGTACACCACGAAGGCAGATCGACACGCCGCCACCATGCAGGTACCCACCATTGCAGCCAGCCGGGAAGCACGGCGTCTCCTGCTCAGGTATCTCATATCCACACCGATTCGTTTGCCTTCCATTGACCGTGAAGGTCAGCTAAAAGTATCATTTTTCCGTTTGAGTCCTGAATTACGATAGGGGCATTGAGACGACAAAATGGTGCGGTGGTGCAAGGCTGTGGTGGACACCGCGCCGTTCTCGTGGAGATACCACTAAAATTAAGAAAAACCAGCTGCTAGTCATGAACTGAACTCACGTGCAGTTCCTGACGTTTGACGTCAAGCAGGTGCGAGTTTCCTCCACGGTTCCTTTGTTACCACAAGTCGCCGTGCATGACGTCCCAGGAACGTTCGACCAAGCCGACCAGATTCCTAACATAAACGGTACAATTCTCGCATTTTTACGGGAACGTACCGTTCAATGGAACCCTCGGGCAATCGATTGTTGCGGTCACTGAAAAGTTTTGAAGATTGATGAAACTTTCCCCACTGTCGCAGGTGAAACTCGGATTTGGCACTACAGTCGCGGTGACGTTGATGGCTTGGCACGTGTAGGCCTTGCTCGTCACGTTCAGCTTCTTAACAGGAAAACTTTATGAGGAAAACATCACGCTACCTTCGCAAAACCGTCAGCACAAGTTGGGCTTGGAGATGGACACATGGAATCAGGGCAAGCGACTATCCGCGAAACTGCTCCGCTAAAAAGGCGAGTAACAAGTTGAGGGCACCTGCGGAAAAATGTGCTTAAGGGGGTAAGAAGTCAAGATTTGCATGTTCGGGGGTCGGACCTATTTGTCAAAAACGAAAGGTGGCGATTTGTCAAGAAACCAGGCTGGGGGCTTGGGCCCGATTTCGATGCCGCTTTACAAAAACCATTACTTGCAAGGGCATCCAAACTTCTCAGAGACACATTCACGAGTCTCTACGCGAAGTCCATTCATACCACAGGTCGCTGTACACGTGGAAACTATCGTCCAGTCGCCCCAAGCTCCTGAAAATCGTGTAGGGCTGGAACTTATGGATCAAAGATTTGAAATTCACTTAACGGCAATACTGGGGGTTTTTCTAAATATACTTACCTGCATAGGGACACGCCGTATCCGGGCAGACTTGGATCGTGTTCACATAGCCTAAGATTTGACGATTTAAACCTCGGTATATCTAACCGATTAGCGATACAACCAGAGGAAGAGATGGCAAACTCAGCATCCTAAAAATGATCTCGCCCGCTCCCTAGACTGTTTTTATAACCAAGAGTTGCGATGGACACTGAAGGCCATGTCCTCCTGGGAAATCCAAGCGGCTTCTTCCAATGTGCAAATCAGTGCTGGGAGCGCCTTGATTTACGATGCGCTTCCGATCTTCGGACCAAGCCAGTGGCCGATCGACTATGTAACCCAGGCCCGTAAGGGGAGGGCGGTGCGGGACCCTTTTGATCATACGACAGGACCCTTTTGATTTTATCCCGAAAATTTTTCTGCCTGTGGCGCTTTTTATCGCTTCTTTAGTCAATTTTTAGTGTGAGAGACGCCATTTTCGTGATTTAAAAAGGTGCTTTTTTCTGAGATTTTTCCAGAACCGGGAGGGAGGGCCCCACAAATTTCGATTTTGCTGCGGTCCTGATTTAGCCAATTGAACTGCTGTAAAAATATATTCAAGCTTGGGGAAGGACAACCGGAGGTAAACGATGGCACGAGGCGCTAGTCCCATTTCTTCAAAAATATACAGGGTGGCTGAAAAGTTCCCGCAATTTCTTGATACTGTTAAATGGACTGGTCATTCCTAAAATTCTCATGAGGTAGAAAACTTATGGTAACTAATAGTTTAATTAAGACGGAAAGAAAAAATTGCGAAACAAAAAATCCACAATAAATCTTCACAGCTTCTCCCAGACGCTTCGATACAAATGCGCATACACCTTGAAAAGTTGTCTCCCATGGTCGCGCCCTCTGCCACAATAACCAAGGCCTAGCACTTTCCAGGGCCGTTTTAAGGAGATTCACTGTAGTGGACCGTTTTTCTGAGCTCTTTTGCTACAAAATGATCGAAACCGAAAGATCAAAAAAATTGAATCCACTGAGTTGGAGGCCCAAACATCAAAGCCTCAAAAACCCGATTGCAACTTTTCCCAGAGGGTGATAGTTGAACGGGCCGGAAAACTGGTGTTTAGTCTTGCTTAAGCGTGAAAACGTTTTAACTAAAAGATTGCTTAATTCATGGCTCTGAAACGATCCTAAGAGCTTGATATTAATGCTCGGTGACTTTGATTTTTACATTTTTTTTTGAACGAAAACGGTTTAAGGGTTGCTGGGGCTCTAGATTCCTACTCAAATCATCAAAGTTCTCGGAAACCGGGAATGATAGACCAAGACTCCTCTATTAACCGTTTTTGAAAAGTTTACGATGATTTTGCCCGTTCCGGCTCGATTCTATAGTGAAAAAATTGACGCCTCCTTGCTCACCGGGAGGGCGCGACCATGGCCGGGAATTTCCATGGCTGCCTGCGCGCTTCTATTCAGCTGCTGGTGGAATTCGTGAACACTTCTTGCGGATTTTTGTGTTGTAATCTGTTGATTACATAGTAAATAAAGTTTCTGTTGCCTTACCTCAGCAAATTTTAGGAATTTTCCGTCTATTGACCTGCTAGAAGAAATTGCGGGAACTTTTCAGCCACCCTGTAGGTATGCCGAAATCGGGCCCTTTTGGTCCTTTTTCGCACTAAAAACCTGCCTGACTTTTTCAAACTGACTGCTTCGCAGATTTTCTAAACACGTTTGGAATCAGCACAAAATTCGGCACAAGGTAAGCATGGTCCTATACGGGAACTCAATTGTCAATAAAAAAACCGTCTCCTGTGTTAGTTTTTAGGAATTTGCACTCGGTGGGCCCTTGGAAATTCGGAAGTGGGGTGGACCTTTATTGGAAAATTTTGGTTAATTCTCGTAATAATAACCTGTTGATACGCAACAATTTATTGCTTAACCGTTTCGTCGCAATTAGTGTCCAGACCTAGTAGTTATCGTGGTAAACTAGAAATGCAGTCGGGCAAATAGGATTGATCGAAACCACTCACCATGCACATTGCGACATAGCTAGTTTCGTAGTTGGACACGGAATATTTCACCGACCGGCCGGTGGAGGCCTGCATGAGATGATTGGAGATGCTTCAGCACCTTGGCAATACCTTAACACTTCTGAGGGCGAAATTTGGGTCAATTGTCATCGTCCAGGTGGCATTGTAGGCCAGGTAAGTCGCTGAGATCAGCAGTTGATCGGCTGCGGCGCGGCTGAAAAGGTCGCTCGTTCCCCGGGGGCAAATCTGCACAAAAGCTGCCGCTGCAAAAATTGTTTCGTTCTGGCCAGAGTTTACTTTACCCCCCGCGCCGCTCCTAACTAGGGAATGTTTTCGGGCGGACATCGGACCCAGCTATGTGAGTATGTGCATCTTGTAGAGCTCGACGAGACAAATCGTTTGATGTAACTTTTAGCTGCGGATACCTTTTTTTAATAAAGTTACAGCGGTTTAAAGTTATTTGCCATACCTTCATAAGCCCTCCCCTCACCCCAACCGCCGTGCTCTGGTAGCCTAGTGGGTTAGTGGTCGGCGTCCGGGGATGGTGACGAGCAGGGACGTAGCGTAATACCGGCCCCGGGGGCCCGGCCCCGAAATCGGCCGGGGCCCGAAAATTTCATAAGGGGGGACCCTTATGATTTTCATTTTCTCAAAAATTTTGCTGCCTGCGGCGCTATTTTTTTACTTTTTTTACGGCTATTTGTAGAGCTATGTAACCTTTTTTTCAAAAAATTTTGCCTGCGGCGCTGTTTTCTCGTTAATGTTTTGTGGTTTTTGGAAAAATTTTTGGGGCCCCCCCCCGAAATTTTTTTCTGGCTACGCCCCTGGTGACGCGGGTACGGATCCGCTCACGATTTTTATTTTTTGCTTTTTGGTCGAAAGCTTCCATTTTGCATCCCGAAGGACTAAATTAACTTTTTTTTTTTTGATTTTTGATCTCCAGCACCCACACCAAAGAAGTTGGTGACAGTTTTGGAGTTTCACCCACACCAAGATCTCACCATGACCAAGCCATGACTATAGCTCGCAAAATCCTATGTTCCGCGTATGTTTATTTAATCGGGGATATGATTCGAAAAATGAAAAAGAAAAAAGTTAATGTAGTCCTTCGGGATGCAAAATGATAACGTCTGCATCATCACTGGTTGGTGGTTGGGTCAAGTTCCGGGCCGGAAGTGGAGCTGGGAAGCAAAGATGCTAGGGTAGTGGACGAACCCTGAAAACAAGAACTGTACGCTACGCACTGTCGAACTCCGCTTCTAACTCAACGTTGGTGTACGCTCGTGTAGACTCTCCACAAGCTAACGGAACTTCTTACAACTCACCGGGCACGTATCGTTCACAGGCTTTGTGGTAGGGACCGAGAAGACTACCGGCTTCGACGTTACAAACTGAAAAACATTGGACGTGAAAAAGCAGGCACTTACATAAACAAACTGCAGCACGAAGTCAGGGTATACCCCCGCCGTGCAGGTCTCATTGAGTAATGGGGAGTCTATTACCATCGTGATGGTGTCTTCCGCCGAGCGCCTATATCATTACTTTTGTCTCGACGTATGTCAAACGTTTCCGTTGACATTGTAAGCCATTATTAAAGGGATACCCAAGGTTTCGGTGGCAAATATCCTACCTTATATAATTTGGTCGCGTACCTTTGTGTGTGTGTGTGTGTGTGGATGTCGCTTTCGAGGCCCGATTTGAGGGCCTTCCCTTGCATAAAATACTATAATTCTCCGTCACGCGGGGGAATCGACCCTCCACTTTCCGATGGCGTTTTCAGAATCCCGATAAAATACAAGTTTACAAAGTTAAAGCCGGTCATTTTTGGGCGTACCTGAGGGCTAATTTGCATAATGTGAAAAAAAATACAAATTTCCTCATTGCACTCGCGCGTGTGGTCGGGGAGTTGGGAGGGTCTGCAGGACCCGAGGTATCAGAAAGTCAAACTTTTCATGGAAAGGTCGCATTCCAGCGCCCAAGACCCGCGAAGCGGGTTTTGGGCGCTGGTATAGTTATGTATTCCGTGCAGTACAAATGACGCGGGAATTTTGTGCGGCAATGAGGCGCCAGTGACGCACAGAATTCGGACACGTTTCCCTCTCGTGGCGTCCCCATCCCACCCACTGGCAAGATGGATAGCATCCAGGCCTACAAAACGGGGGCCCGGGTTCGACCCCCGCCCGCCGCATGGTTTTTGCTTTTTGAGCCCCGAAAGGTTGGGCATCCCTTTAAAGTATCTTTCTTACGTAAACGTCAACGTCATCTGTTCCTCCACAAAATCGTCGACAGGTGTTGCGCCAGCTGATGAAAAAAGTCGGTAGAAAATGGAATTACTTACTTCGAGGGCAAACAATTGAATAGGCGCCGTCCGACGAGGTCAACATTATGATCGGGACCGTCGCGTTACTCTTTGTTCCGCCCTCACCATAGAGCATCACCTCGAAGCTATCGTATTTTGTGAAGCTACAGCACTAGTAGCACTTACTTTAAAAAGAAGGGTCCTGTGTTCACGTTAGCCTGGGTGAGTGTGGTGTTCAGACTGAAGGAGTCGCCTATCGCGAGAGGAGCCATGAGGCAGACCGCTAAATTCGTGATTTTTATAGCTTTGGATACGCCCAAAAATTCCGTGTCGACTAGAAAAGTTAATAGGTTCAACTCACCGTCGGCCCGGACTTGGAGTGCTGAAACGATATCGGATAAAACTATTTTTTACAATTTTTGAATGTAGATCCTTATCAGAAATTAAGAAGAAACAAGAAATGAGTCGCTGACAAGATTAGGGAGTGTCTTAAAAAACATACCCGTCGTCGTTGCCTCGATATTTTCGTCCTGTAATGTCAAGTTTTTTGCTTAAAGGTACACTAAAGCCTCGTTGGTTTGGTTACCGGCCGGTAACCGTCCGCGGAATAGCAAACCGGGTTACGGTAGGTGCTCGCGGCGGAGCAAAACCGAACCCGCGCCACTCGCCTAGGGCGAGCGCTTTAGACCACTAGGCCATGGGACAGACGGGAGAGGGGAGAGGGAAGGGGGATAAGAAGGATCCGGGCGTTGCGCGGCAGAGGGCCGGGATTTCCGACCGCGAACTGACTTTTTGCACGAGATTTTAGTGTACCTTTAAGGTTCCGTGATTGGCTTACTGAATAGCTCGATTGCGACTCACCGTATTGTAGTCTCCTTCCGTGGTTGGCTCGTCATCCGGGTTTGCGCTCGTATCATAGTTTACGTCGGTGGTTGGCTCGTTATCGTTGCTCGGGCTCGTATCGTAATTTGCGTCCGTGGTTGGCTCGTCGTCATTGGTAGCAGCGTCCTGTAAAAGGATGAAACAAGCGTTATTTTTGCTTTTTGCTTTTTTGCTTTTTACTGTTTGCCTCTAACCTGACCCCCCTCAGCTGGCAAGCCCATTCGCTATCGAGTAAAACTACTGAATAAATAAGCTGGTAGATTACCGTTGTAGTTGGCGCTTTTTTCGTCGTGGGCGTCCTTGTCGTAGGTGGCGCTCTCGTCGTTGTTGTAGTCACGGTTGTGGGTGGTGCTCTGGTGGTCGTAGTCGTCGCCACGGTTGTGGGTGGCGCTCTCGTTGTTGTGGCAGTCACGGTTGTGGGTGGTGCTCTTGTCGTCGTCGCCGTCGTCGTGGTTGTGGTTGTGGTCGTGATCACTACAATACGGCTTGTTTTAAGCTTTCCTGCTACTGTAGAATATATTGAAAATTCCATGCCTGGAAACGCTCTGAACTCCTCGTATTCTCGACCCACCATTACACCCAGCCGGAAAGCATGGCGTTTCCTGTTCAGGTATCTCATATCCACACCGATCCACTCGTTCGCCGTCGACCGTAAATATTACCTAAATTGGACTCGTTACAGTCTAGACCCCAAGGTCACAATGGGACTATTCAGAAGGCATTGTGGCGCTGTTGGGCAAGGTTGTGCAGGACATTTCGCTGTTCTAGTCGCGCTGCCACTGAAAGCGAGAAAATTTGCAGCTAAAACCCAAAAACTGACGTGCAATTCTGAATATTCGATGTCAAGCAGGTCCTTATTTGTGAAACGGTTCCCTTGTTTCCGCAAGTTTCCGTGCAAGTGCTTCCCGCGACGTTCGTCCAGGCGGACCAGAAAAAAAGCCTTCACGTTCTTGCCGAAGCTCGCCGCGGTTTTTGCTGATTGAATTCTTACCAGCAGCTGGTACTCGCGGGCAGGAGATAGTGTCGGTCCCTAAAGATGGATCGGTGTCGTATTCATCAGAGTTTCTTACTATCGCAAGTGAAGCTCGGATTCGGCACGTCATCTGTGGTGGCGTTGACCGCTTGGCAAGTGTAGCCTTTGCTTGTTGTGTTCAGTTTCTTAAAAAATTAGCGGGGCTTAGAGTCGATACGATTATGAGTTCACCTTGGCAAAGCCGTCAGCGCATGTGGCGTTTGGAAATGTGCACATCGGATCCGGGCATGCGGCTATGCGAGATACTGCTCCACTAAGGGCAGAATAGAAGTATTTTTGAGCAATTCTTACTTGCAAGGACACCCAAACTGCTCCGACACGCACTCACGAGTCTCAACGCGAAGTCCATTCATACCGCAAGTCGCAGTGCAGCTCGATATGATCTTCCAAGCGGTCCAAGCCCCGCCGGCAGGACACGCCGATGCCGGGCACACTTGAATCGAGCCGACGGGACCTAAAAACTTTGGCAAACGACTACAGCGACGGACCAAGCAGCCCCAAGGCCAGGAGAGCAATTTTTAGGAACATCTCCAAAATATGGCTGCTTCGGCGCCGTACCGTATTTTTGTAGTTGATCAAGGTATCGAAAACTAATTGTCCGTGGGAGTCCTGGCCAGTTGTCGCTCAATTTGTCATTTTTGAGTCTCTGATGGGTGAATCTATCGTGGGGACCCGATTCCGAAATGGATATTGGCAAAGGGCTAATAAATCAAAGGCATGGAAAAATTGGAATGATTGAGGCTTTCCAAATTTTTTCGGAAGGTGGCTACTTTTTGAGCCATGGATTTTCATCTGTGGATGCAGAGTTAAAATTTTATCGAAACCCAAATCAATGAGCAGAAAGTGTGAAAAGCGGCTTGGAATCTTTGCAGAGGTGCCAGGAGTAGGTCAGTATGATGGCTTCAGTCGAAATTCGTGGAGGGCCAGCTGCGAGCTGAACAACAACTTTGAAACCATAAATCGTGGCATTACCTCAAATCCCAGCTCCTCGGCCGCATTTAGGACGATTAGTGGCGAGGTGTAGAGCTTGATTGGGTCACTAAAATAGCCATTTGAGTTGTTGAAGCTAACGAAAAGTTGCTAGAAAAGCTAACAAGGGGATGGTCTCAGCTCGGAATCGAATTCGGATTTGAAAATTTGCACACTTATAGAGCTCGACGAGACAAATCGATTGGTGTAACTTTCAGCAGCAGATACCCCGAACTAACAAAGTTATAAGCATTTTTAGTTTTTGCATACATTTTGCAGATTTTTCGCCATACCTTCATAAGCCCTCCCCCTTCCCCTTATCAGCGTGGTCTGGTGGTCTAGTGGTGTGGTACGCGGCGTCTGGGGAATCTATCAAGGGTTCGAACCCGCTCACGATTTTTATTTTTTGCTTTTTGGTCCAAAGATTCCTCTTGGCATTCCAAAGAGCTTTAATGGCGTTTTAGGCATTCACCAGGAACCAGGAAGCGCTCGCAGCAAAAAATCCCACTCCTAAAAATTTTTGGAAATTTTGAGAGTTGGCAAGGTAACCATAGTAGGATCAGTTCAAAGAAAATAATTTTTATTTTCGTACAGCTTGGGATACGATAACGTGTTGATAAGCAGATTGTCAGCCTTCTGAAAATTTCCCCAAAATTTTTTGAGGAGGCATGAGCACAGGCAAAAAATTTTAAATTTTTCGCAAAGCTGCTTTATTGTTGGCAACGCTTCCTGGTTCCTGGTAAATGCCTAAAAAGCCATTAAAGGTCTTTGGAATGCCAAGAGGAATCTCTGGACCAAAAAGCAAAAAATAAAAACCGTGAGCGGGGTTCGAACCCTTGATAGATTCCCCAGACGCCGCGTACCACGCCACTAGACCACCAGACCACGCTGATAAGGGGAAGGGGGAGGGCTTATGAAGGTATGGCGAAAAATCTGCAAAATGTATGCAAAAACTAAAAATGCTTATAACTTTGTTAGTTCGGGGTGTCTGCTGCTGAAAGTTACACCAATCGATTTGTCTCGTCGAGCTCTATAAGTGTGCAAATTTTCAAATCCGAATTCGATTCCGAGCTGAGACCATCCCCTTGTAAGCAGCGCTTTTTTAAGAGAGAAAATAGAAAAATACCCCGATCTTTTCCGCGCCTTCATCTCCTCAGTGTTGAAGCGGCCTAATATCAGTCCAGACGGATCGTCAAGATGCACGCATTCGTAGCTGCCCTGCGCCGAGTTGTAGCGAGCGGTCAGCAGGGCATAGGGCATTCTCAAATTTTCCGAGCTCTTGACGATAGTAAGAAGGTACATTCAGATTCGTTAAAGCTAGAAAATGTCCTGAAAATGCCAAATGCAAAACGGTCTCGTACGAGGAAGATAAAAATCGATTAGAAAGACTTTTGGGCGAGCCATCGAACCGTAGATGTCCAAATGATACCTTGGGCCGGTTCAAAAGCCTGAAACGCGAGGCGGAAATGATATGGCAGTGAAATCGGCGTGAATCATCACTTGAAAAAAGCGCGTTTCGACCTCGTCGATACCTGAACGCCGGAAAGGCAATTTTTCTCGTTGTTTTTATAAACTTCAGACTTGCCAATAATAATGGTGTTATTTTTCGTGGCGTTATAAAATTCATTCATTATTACACATTTATAAAATTCCAATACACGACAAAACAAAGAAATTCTCATTATGTGCTGGTTATTAATCTGTATTATGCAGGAAAACCAGAAGAATGAATTGATCAACGTTAGCTCTTCTCAACCGGTTTGTGCAGCTGCCACGAATAAGAATATAAGATGTGGTAATCACCTGGTCGGGGCGGTGCGGACTTTAGCTAAAATCAGGTTTTTTTACTTTTGAGCTTGCTATATCATGAATTTTTATAACGCAGAAAATAAACCAACTTCAAAGCCGCATTCTTCTGCAATGTTCAGCACCTGCATCGGGGAAATGCACAGCTTCCGGGCGGACCTGGAATGAACGGCTCCAACCAGGACAGTCGGGAAGCAAAAGCAAAATCTTAAATCCAAGGAATGGGATGGATCCTATTTTTCATATCCAATCCTTGTACAGGGTGTCCCAAAAAAAACGACCCATTTGGCATTTCGCCGTGTTACATTCAATCGGCCCAAATTTTGGACCAGAGGTGTATCAGACCCTAAATAACAACAATCCTGACTTATAGCCCTGTAGCTACAGTCGTTCTCGAGTTATAACGAAAATACTGTTTTTCCCGCAATTCTGAACAGTTTTTTCGGCTCTTTTTGGAGTTTGCATCAATTTGCATCGACTTCCGGCTGCGAATCCCTAATTTCGCTTAAGAACTTGGGTAATTTTGCGTTGGAAAAATCGCTTAAATCAAAGCTTATTTAATTAATTTTACTCTGAAAAAATTTCTTAAGGTAAAGAAGGCCTACCGGATCATTTTCACTTAATGTTTAGGGGGTCTAATTCCACGAAAACCCTATGAAAAATAGAAAATGAAGTTTGTTTTTGCCATAACTCGAAGACTACTGTAGCTACAGAGCTATAAGTCAGGATTGTTGTTATTTAGGGTCTGATACGCCTCTGGTCCAAATTTGGGGATGATTGGATGTAACACGGCGAAATGCCAGATGGTTCGTTTTTTTTGGCACCCTGTATAGGCGAGAACAGTATGTCTGTTTTCTGTACGGCCTTTTGCTCGGCCGGCAGGCCGAATTTCGGGCTGATTTTTGGCATGGTGTTGGGGGAAGCACATTCGCCAAAAAAAAACGGTTTTTTGGATTTTTCGAAATTCCTGGATTTAACGATTTCGCAAACAAAAAAGCGAAAAATCGCTAGCAAAGTGGGCTACTGGCCGTGGTGTCCGGCCATAACTCGAAGCCCGGATGGAATTTCGGTCTGTAATTTGGAAATTATCTTTACAAATTTTCAGCGTATTCAGACTCGAAAATAGAATTTTGTAACGTGACCAGAAGGTCTCCCTCCCAGGATCATTCGGGCGCCCTAGGCCTGGCCTCGCTCTAGCGCCGCAGGCCAAAGAAAAGGTCCTTGGCCCAGCCTCTCGCGCCGCAGGCCAAATCCTGCAGAAAAACCAGTAACTAGCGCCGCAGGCTCAACGATTCTAGCGCAACGCTGGCTCTGGCGCCGCAGTCCAGCCTGGGTCCTTTATTCAAGTAGAAAAAAAGAAGGTATTCGAATTCAGTTCCTGGACGAGGTTCAGTGAAAAAGAGCCGCGAAGCGCTCTTTTTCAACTGGTGTTCTTAGATATGGTCTTTTTCTAATTTATTTGCCAACCAGTGGGAGGACAACCCGTTTAAAGTGGGACAAACGGAACGGAACAACTTACAACCCTGGCTTTTGTTCCTTGAAATCACTACGGCGTAGCTGGGCGGTGATAATGCCAGACGGGTCGTCCAAATAAATGCTGCTATACTCCGAGGTCTTCTGGTTGTAGTAAGCGGTCAGCAAGGCGTGCGGCATTTTTTTTGGAAACGCTAAAAATCCTTTTTCAGCACTGTGAAACAGGAAAAAAGCTGGGAAGTTAGGATAATAGATAAATTCAATGATAATAAAGTGAATGCCAAAAACATTACAGAACATTTTTCTGACATTTTTTGGCATTCGCCTGTTCTTATAAACCGTTTCAGGGCGTACGTGGCTGGGGTTGACGTCTTCGCTCGAGTCGGCCTTTAGTCGCAGATAAGGGTGAATAGTGGGCACTTTCTTTGGTGATTCATCGTCAATAGCCCTCGAAAACCAATTATTTCAACACACGATCTGCACGCCGGGCGCATAAAAATCACGCACATGCTTGGTCAACGTATTTATTTACCATGTCAGCGCTTACTCTTGATTTCTGGGCTGCTCAAAGTCCTTTAGCCAATGCAAATTGCTGACCGATCATGAAAATGCTATCTTCGGCGAATAATCAAAAAACCATTTATTAATTTAGACAAATAGCTCAAACATCAAATCGAACAGAAGTTAGGCGGTTAGAGTGAGCTGCCAACACATCACCTTGTCCTCCATTCTCGTTGGTCCATTGATCTAGAATTAAGCACCAGCTAGTAAGCTATATTTTTGTAATATTACCAGCCGCTTGCAGCGGCCGTGTCGCCGCCGGCGTCTGGAGTTCGGGCTATCTCCCCCTGCGCTCGCTCACCCTCGCCGAAACGCGCGCAACCTGGCTCACTATGCCCAAAATCGTGCAAATAGCCGTCTTTCCTTCCAAATTACTAAACTCGATTTTTAAATATGAAAAGGAAGTTCTTAAATTCTGTGTTTGATCAGTTTAGGGGTTTCTGACCGCGCTCTATCCGAATCCGAAGAGACCTAAGCTCTAGTAGCTCGTTCCCACTTCGAGTTGAATTCGGCTTCATACACGCAGAGACCGCAACAAGATTCTTATAGTTGATTTTGTAAGATTCTCTAATAATATTTAAATTATACTACAATCAGTGCTCCGAATCACCTTATATCCAGCCTGCGTCGCGAGGGCCAGCGCCTGCATCGGCGAGACTTTCAGGTCACTGAAAAATGTAAAAAAGTAAGTGTTAACCCGTGGCATTTTATAGCTAACAAAACACAGGGTTTTTTTTAAATTAGGGAAGCAAAAACTACCATAAAAAATTCCCTTACAGTCGGCCCCCAAGCTCAGCATCTTTTGCCTTCATCGCGTAGTAGAGCTTGTCGTCCGGGTCGTCGGAAAGGAAGGTTTTCTTCGACTCGTAGTACTCGTCGTAGACGGCCACCAGCAGCGCGTGGTGCGTCGGCATGATTTTTGGTTGACCTAGAGCCCTAGTTTTCCTCACATAATCAGTTTTGCTCGAACCAACAAAAAATTGAAAATATTTAGAAAATGTAAAAGCACGAAAATTTCGATTTGAAGGAAACGTTATCGGTTTTGCCGGTGAGAAGAGGCTTATCGACTTTCTTGCAAGTGGCCAATGTTTTAAAAGACCTTGATGTCCCGAAACGAGTGCAAAAAATTTATTCAATAAAGTGGCACACACGTTTCAAGAATACCTATCAGAATCGCGAAAATCAGCATGTCAAATTTTCAGAATCGCGAAAATGACAACAAAATACAGGGTGTCCCAAAAAAAAGACCCCCCCAAAAATTTGAGCCAGAGGGCACCTACGGAGCTGAAAATTTGCACAGATGTAGCGAAGGTAATTTTCTATGAACAAGGAAAGTTTCAGCCCGATCGGCCAGCGGGTTGAAAGGTATAGCGAAAATACTTTTCATTTTTAATTTAATATGGGGATCTTTGCAATTTGCATCAAAGATATGCGTTATTCTTGCATTTACAAGCCGATTTTGCATAAATTTCGCTGAAAAGTGCCATTTTCTTGATGGAGCTTTTGGAAAACGATTGATCATGGGGACGGAGGCTGGGGCTGATTTTGGACATAGTGAGCCAGGTCGCGCGCGTTTCGGCGAGGGGGAGGGAGCGAAGCGGGGTAGTTCGAAGTCCAGCCGCTTGCAGCGGCTGGTAGTAGCTATAGGAGTACAATTTTACCCGCCCCCGGGAAGTTGAGAGAAATCCTGGCCACAGTCAGCGGATTCGTCAGAAAACACCTTTCTGTTAGCAATTCGACCACGGCGAACGTTGTGAGATAGTACCCTAGACTCTTGCCCGAAGAACTGAAGGTGGCAGGAAATGCGGATCCCAAGAAGCTTTTCGCTGCTCCTCTCCCATCATTGCCAAAGAGTTGTGATCCCGTTTCGACGCGCCCATTTTCGCGGACTGATGCTATGTACAAACTGACGCGACGTGGCGACGGCGATTGTTTTGCGGAACGTCGGACGCTCTTTTAACAAAAAATCTCTTTATTCCGAACAGATTTTAAAGAGCGAAAATTAGTTGCAGGCAGATGATGATCAGGATCGTCAACATGTTGGGGCCGCCCCAAGTGGCCCCGCTCTGAAAAGATGCATGTACCCTAAAATCCAGAGTATAGTCCCCCAAAAAAAGACGTTATGTACGATTTTTACGATTTAGGTATCTATCGGATGCTCTCGAGGAGCTGAGGAAATATGTGCTCGCGATTTTCCAATTTATGAATTTCGATAAAATTTACTAACATTTTGCAAAATTCGCTGAAATTTCGATGCTTTTTCCCAGGCAAGTGTTTTTAACAAAAACCCCATTTTCCAAATTTTCACATCGCGGCGGAACTCACGGTCGCAACAGGCGGGGTGGTTGTGGTTGTGGTTGACCAAACAGGCAGGGTGGCCGAGGACGACGACGATCGGGTGGTCGTCGACAGGGCGGGGGTGGCCGAGGACGACGACGATCGGGTGGTCGTCGACAGGGCGGGGGTGGCCGAGGACGACGACGATCGGGTGGTCGTCGACAGGGCGGGGGTGGCCGAGGACGACGACGATCGGGTGGTCGTCGACAGGGCGGGGGTGGCCGAGGACGACGACGATCGGGTGGTCGTCGACAGGGCGGGGTGGCCGAGGACGACGACGATCGGGTGGTCGTCGACAGGGCGGGGTGGCCGAGGACGACGACGATCGGGTGGTCGTCGACAGGGCGGGGGTGGCCGAGGAGGCGGCAGAGGACGCGGACGTGGTGGTCTGCCCGCGCATCATGTTGAGCAATTCCGGCGCGACTAAATTCAACTGATTAGCCTAAAACTATTGAAACTGATTGGCTATGGCCGCCCTCTCTTCCCATCCCCCAATCAATGACTACAAACGAATTACTGTCATTTTCCTAAAAAATCTTTTTCCTAAAGAACTTTTCTCAAAACTCATTTTTCCTAAAACCGGCTAATATCGAAAAGGCCTTAGCTTCTTATTCTGCATGAAGAAATCTAAAAAGCTTTTTAATAAACTCAGATCTGTCTAACAATGTCATAGTAAGCATTTGAGTAGTGCGTTTAGCCTAGGTTTAACTATGTTGGAAGTGAAAACGCGCCAATAAAAATTAAGGTTCTTTAGGATTCCAGGTGGGGGGGGTTGAAAAAGTCGAAAATTTGGTCATTTTGGGTTCCCCCCGCGAATCCTAAAGGGTCTATAGGATTGTTCGACCTAATTTTTATTTTTTTAAATTTTTTTTGGTTAAAATGTGTGTAGTTTTGATGCTCAGGAATAGTTAAAAACAATTTAGAAACACATCCGCAGTTTAGAAAAAAATCTAGGCCAGTGCCGAAAAAAAAATTGGTTCCCCCCCCCGCGAATCCTAAAGAACCAAAATCAGAAAAAACTTTGCTCAAAGCTAACTAAAAGCCTTGATAACGGAAAATGACAGCGTTGCCCTTTCTGGGTTTTTGTAGGCACCCCAAATTTTAGGAAAAACAATTTTTATGAAAACTTATTTTTAGGAAAAATGAATCTAGGAAGAATGTAAATAGGCCACTAAAATCAACTTACTATCCATCCACATTTCCGGCTCCTCCAGAGACCCCCAGTCATACTTGCCACCTGGAAATAAAGTCATTGCATAGAAAAGAAATAACTCACGGCAACGATGCTGCTGATCGGACACCACCCCAGCGTAACACGCCGGTCGGAGCTCCCCGTCGACCGGATGCGGTAGGGTAAGGCAGGGCAGCGTGGCCTTGGGACACACTAAAGGCGATATAAGAGGCGGCAGAGAGTGGGTTTTAGAGTGAGAAGAGAGAGAGAGAGAGAGAGAGAGAGAGAGAGAGAGAGAGAGAGAGAGAAACAGAAAGAGGGTGAGAAAGAGAGAGAGAGAGGGGAGAGAGAGAGAGGGAGAGAGATAAAGTGAGAGAGAGAGAGAGAGACAGAGAAGGACAGAGAGAAACAGAGAGAGAGAGAGAGAGAGAGAGAGAGAGAGAGGAGAGAGATAAAGTGAGAGAGAGAGAGAGAAAGAGAAGGACAGAGAGAAACAGAGAGAGAGAGTGAGAGAGAGACAGTGCGAGAGAGATAGAGAGAGAAAGACCTTATCCTACCGTATAATATCCCCTGCATTTCATCATGGAGGACCACGGTTTCATGGTCGCTATCTATTCCGGCGATGTTTTGCGCGCAATTCTTCGGCTCGAGGCTTGTGGGTGGGCATAGTCGACCGGCTGAACGGATATTGAAGCGATGATTAATAGGAAGTTTCCCACCCTACATAATTTTGGCTTTCAGCGCGAAACGCCCGCGAAGCGGGCTTTGGGCGCTGGTACCGTAATAAGAATGACCCTTGGAAATACAAAGCGAGCACACTCACGCGGTTTTCGGGGTGGCTTGGCTTGGAGCCGGAGGGCCAGGATGCCGATGGTCAGGGCGAAGAGTGGCTGGGCCGCGAGCCTCATTTAGTTTACACAAAACTCACGACGATCAGCAGAGGCTCTGCAAAATTTGGTTCTGGACTATTAGCCGGGGGCGGGATTTTTGCAAGGGGGACCAAATTTTCCATGTGTTTTCCTACAGTCCTAGCATTAAATATAAACCATTTTATAGAGTTTAACATAGTTGTTAAACATTAAAATAATAAAAAAACTAGAAAATTTTCGAGAATTTTTGGGTTTTTGGGCAAAAATGTGTGAAAAATTCCCAAAAAGGTCAAAATTTGCGAATTTACAAACTAGTTGAAAATATCTTTTATAGCTTTCTAGCAATCAAAAGCTACTAAAAACTCCATAAAATGCATAATATAACACCGCATATACGTGGAAAAACACAAGGTGGTTTTCCCCCTGCTAAGTCCCCCCCCCCGATAACAGTCCAGAATGCAAAAATCGACGCAAATCGGAAGGCACCAAGGGGGAAATGTGAAATGTGAATGATTTGGGGGGGCGGGGGTGGCTTATAACCACGAAAGGCACGCTAAAGACAAAACAATCAGGGGCCTCGCCGGGGCTCATCTCTCCAACGTCAAAGATGACCGCCGCCGGGGAATTTGCAGGGGGGCCATCGTGAAACATCGTGAAACACACGAAATTCCGCACCTATTTATATTTTGACTATCCCTGGTAATAACGCACGTTAAAGAAACATCCAACGCCCAACTTTTTATGAAAAAGCAAAAAGTCTTGTCATGGCCGGGGGGGGGGTCGAAGCCGGATTTTTTATGAAAAAGCTACGAGTCTTGTCACGGCCCGGGGGGTTGAACCCGCTCTTCTTATTAAAAAGCAAAAAAATCTTATCATGGCCGGGGATCGAACCCGGGCAAGCAGCGCGGCAAGCCAACGCTAAACCAATGAGCCAACCAGGAAAGGAACCGAAATCGAGAAAGGGACGGGGGCTTAAGTGCAGCTGACCCCCCAGCCCAGCTCCTCAGCCATACGTCCTACAGTGTGTGCCAAAATGATAGGGGTACGAAGTTTTTGATCGATTTCTTTGCGATGTTGAATGTAGCTGTAAAACTGAATTACAGATTTTGTTGTACGGAAAAACGCGCATCTTTTTGTCTAATTGAAATACTTCTACGATACAGGATAACAGTTTTACAAACAATTGAATAAAAATAGGGAAAAAACACAAGTGACAAAATGATAGGGGAATCATTAACATATCGTTAACATCAACTCTCAGTATGAATATTTGATGCTAATTAGATGCAAGTTTTGACTGACCACTTCCGGTCGGAATTTTGGCCAGCAATTAAGATTTTTACATCTTCTCCCGCTATGAATCTGTAATTAAAATCAATCAACATCCACTATTCATACAGAAAGTTCATGGAAATAATCAACTATAATAATTTTGTTGTGGGGTCTGTCTGTGTGAAGCCGAATTCAACTCGAAGGGGAAAGGAGCTAGAGCTTAGCTCTCTTCGGATTCGGATAGAGCGTGGTCAGAAACCCCCAA